CGGCCATTTTCTGACTTCCTGTCTCTCTGACTTTGTGCGTGTTCTCTTTCTATCTGCCGGCCTGGACCCTGGTGAGCTCTATAACTATACCCGCCTAGGTTATACTAGTTAGGGGTGATTAACCCCTGCTAGTCTCCTCTACTCTGATTTTAGCTTTATCCCATACAATTATACTGTTTACATAGTTGATATTCTCTTGTTGGGGAATTTCTCACAGCACTACCATGCCCAGATCTAAAGTGCCTGCCAGCCTCTCCTCCCCTAGGGAGATGGACATGCCCCAGGTTTTGGATAACCCATCTTCCAATTCTGCTTCCCCCATCTTCTGTTGGGGACCCTATGCCCCTGTCTGATGAGACCCAGTCCCTGGCGCTACAGCGCTCAGTCTCTGACGCCATTATGGCTGCTATGGGCTCCATGTCCTCTGTCCTCTCCCAGACCATCTCACCACAGGCCTTACTTGCACACCCTTTGGCCGCAGAAGGCTCGGCCTCGCCAGCACGCTTAGCGCACCCGGCTACTGACCCTATAGGGGAGGCACCAAAAAAGGCTACTGCCAAATCCAGGCACTCTAATCTCCCTGCCTCCAGAACCAACACGACTGGTGTGACTATAGCCACCCATGAGAGAGAGCCTTTCCGCGCCAGGCAGAACGGGCGCGGCAGTGGAAATGTGCTAGAGCACAAAAAGAGAGCGACTCCAACTCAGAAATCAGGTCTAGTGAGGAGGCTGACTCTGAGTCTGTGGATGACTCCGATTATGAATTTTGTGGACAGAAATCTGACCCTTTTGGTGGTTGCGAGTGGCCTTAGGAGCGACTCCCCCGCTACTGCGGGCTCCACCCTCATGGATCTGTCTGGGGAACCCATGTGTGGCGAAACCAACCTCGCCACTGTGAACTGGAGAAGCCTGGTTGCTCGCCTGCTCCCTTTGGACTATGGCCCTGCAGGTTAAACCGTTTATTTCCCCTGCAGAAAGGCTTATTTGTGTGATCTGAGTGCCATTCATCTAATAATGTGCACTCAGATCCCAGCTATCTGGGGATATGTGAAATGTCTGTGTGTTATGTGTAAATGTGACTTTATGTATTTTAAAGTGTTTTGTGTCTTTTTGCAACCATGTGCTTAATGGAGTCTTGTGTCTATCCTGGGAGATAATTGAATTACTTATCTCCAGGATAGAAGGCTCTGAAACTGGTTTGGGCCAGAAAGCCATGCTTCATTTAGTCACAAAGGACTTTCCCTTAACTTTTGAACCCCTTGTCTGATTTGTGCCATTTTTGAATATGTTGTTCCCCTGAATGGATTGATTGTGACTATGTAATTTTATGTGAATGTGATGTATGGTTTTGGAGTTATGAAAGTTGGGTAGAAAGTATGTTTAACTGTATGTATAATTGAGTTTCCTCTCAGGATAAGGGGAGGGAATATGTGGGATGTAAATGTGATGTGATTGGTTGTTTTGTAACGCCCTGTGGGCTGTACTATGTTTGTGGATTGGGAATAAAAGAGACTGTATGTGACAGTACAGGGAGTTCCTGTTTTTAACCCTCAAAGTGAAGTGTCGTCTCATTATTGGGGGAAGGATTTATTGTATGCTGTTCCAGTTTGACTGCTAGGAGAGTAAACCTATTCGTATGGTTCCTATTCAACTGTCTACAGCATTCATATGCTTGAGAGGATTCATATGTTTCTCCGGTTCGGTGATTGTGGTGTCTGCCAGAGTGCTTGGAGTCCTCAGGAAGCGCTAGGAGCATCCTTCAACGGAGGTACCCAGTCGGGGTGCCAGGCGATCCGTTACATTGGTGGCAAGCGGTGGGATGGCGTCCTAGTGCGAGGTAAAGCAGCTCGGAGACACAGTTCGTGGATTTACAAAGTGAGGGCAACGCCAGTACCCGTACAGCGACCCTATCTACAAAAGAACTAACTTCAGCAGCGCAAGCATGGCACCCAGCTACACTCAGGAGCAGTATGACAGAGAGTTTACCACGCGGCTGGCTTTCTTTGGACCCAACCCCCCGGAGAAATACGTGCAGTTCGTAAGGAGCTAGGTAGACGAGTACCTGGAGTTCATGGCAGATCCAGCCAAACTTATCAGCCGCCCTATCCGGAGGCAGAGTGCGTTACGGGGACTCATAGGTGTACCCCAGGGAGCAGAAGGTGCCGTCCTTCCTCCCCAGCGGCAGTGTGTATCCCAGGGAGCTGAAGGTGCCGTCCTTCCTCCCCAGCGGCAGTGTGTACCCCAGGGAGCAGAAGGTACCGTCCTTCCTCCCCAGCGGCAGTATGTACCCCAGGGAGCAGAAGGTACCGTCCTTCCTCCCCAGCGGCAGTGTGTATCCCAGGGAGCTGAAGGTACCGTCCTTCCTCCCCAGCGGCAGTGTGTATCCCAGGGAGCTGAAGGTACCGTCCTTCCTCCCCAGTGGCAGTGTGTATCCCAGGGAGCAGAAGGTGCCGTCCTTCCTCCCCAGCGGCAGTGTGTGTCCCAGGGAGCAGAAGGTGCAGTCCTTCCTCCCCAGCGGCAGTGTGTATCCCAGGGAGCTGAAGGTGCAGTCCTTCCTCCCCAGCGGCAGTGTGCATCCCAGGGAGCTGAAGGTGTCGTCCTTCCTCCCCAGCGGCAGTGTGTGTCCCAGGGAGCTGAAGGTGCCGTCCTTCCTCCCCAGCGGCAGTGTGTATCCCAGGGAGCTGAAGGTGCAGTCCTTCCTCCCCAGCGGCAGTGTGTACCCCAGGGAGCTGAAGGTGCCGTCCTTCCTCCCCAGCGGCAGTGTGTACCCCAGGGAGCTGAAGGTGCTGTCCTTCCTCCCCAGCGGCAGTGTGTACCCCAGGGAGCTCAAGGTGCAGTCCTTCCTCCCCAGCGGCAGTGTGTACCCCAGGGAGCTGAAGGTGCAGTCCTTCCTCCCCAGCGGCAGTGTGTACCCCAGGGAGCTGAAGGTGCAGTCCTTCCTCCCCAGCGGCAGTGTGTACCCCAGGGAGCTGAAGGTGCCGCCCTTCCTCCCCAGCGGCAGAGTGTCCTGCAGGGAGCAGAGACCGTCAGTCTCGCACCCCAACCACAGGACAAAATAATGAAAGGGGAGACAGCTGGTCCCCCTCTTCACCAGCAGAGAGAGTGTCAGGGAGAGGAGCCTGATACCCCCTCTCCCCAGCGGCAGCTTACAGTTCAGAGAGAGGAGCTTGTTACACCCTCTCTCCAGCGGCAGCCTAACCCAGCAAGGGGAGATGTTACACCCCCCAACAGTGCAAATTGGACTGTAGTCTCTGCACTTACAGCACAAGGGGTAGGGACAGTCGGTCCTGTTCCCCAGCCACAGAGCGGTGTATCCAGAGGGGAGACAGTCGGTCTCTCCCTCCCACAACCAGGCTCCCACCAGGCTACTTCCATGGTAGCACTGGCATCAGGGCAGAGTACCGCTGGTCTCTGCCCACTCAGCAACCCACCAAGGCAGCCTAACAGTTGCCCACTCAGTCGTGATGAGGCACCTGGACATGGACAAAGTTCTCCTCTACCCAGGTGTAGTAACCAGTTATTGTGGGTGGGCTGTTCTGCTGTTTCTGTTTTGTGGGTGGGTTGCTGGACTAACCAGGGCACTGACCGGCAGGAGGTCAGATACCCTGTTAGTCTAGTTGGTAAAGGGGAGAAGTGTGGCGAAACCAACCTCGCCACTGTGAACTGGAGAAGCCTGGTTGCTCGCCCGCTCCCTTTGGACTATGGCCCTGCAGGTTAAACCGTTTATTTCCCCTGCAGAAAGGCTTATTTGTGTGATCTGAGTGCCATTCATCTAATAATGTGCACTCAGATCCCAGCCATCTGGGGATATGTGAAATGTCTGTGTGTTATGTGTAAATGTGACTTTATGTATTTTAAAGTGTTTTGTGTCTTTTTGCAACCATGTGCTTAATGGAGTCTGTGTCTGTCCTGGGAGATAATTGAATTACTTATCTCCAGGATAGAAGGCTCTGAAACTGGTTTGGGCCAGAAAGCCATGCTTCATTTAGTCACAAAGGACTTTTTACTAACTTTTGAACCCCTTGTCTGATTTGTGCCATTTTTGAATATGTTGTTCCCCTGAATGGATTGATTGTGAATATGTAATTTTATGTGAATGTGATGTATGGTTTTGGAGTTATGAAAGTTGGGTAGAAAGTATGTTTTAACTGTATGTATAATTGAGTTTCCTCTCAGGATAAGGGGAGGGAATATGTGGGATGTAAATGTGATGTGATTGGTTGTTTTGTAACGCCCTGTGGGCTGTACTATGTTTGTGGATTGGGAATAAAAGAGACTGTATGTGACAGTACAGGGAGTTCCTGTTTTTAACCCTCAAAGTGAAGTGTCGTCTCATTATTGGGGGAAGGATTTATTGTATGCTGTTCCAGTTTGACTGCTAGGAGAGTAAACCTATTCGTATGGTTCCTATTCAACTGTCTACAGCATTCATATGCTTGAGAGGATTCATATGCTTCTCCGGTTCGGTGATTGTGGTGTCTGCCAGAGTGCTTGGAGTCCTCAGGAAACGCTAGGAGCATCCTTCAACGGAGGTACCCAGTCGGGGTGCCAGGCGATCCGTTACACCATGTTTGACCCGGATGCTCTCTATCATTCGAGGTCAGCGGAATGGCTCCCGGCGGACCATGTGGCACAGTACCTTGAAAATTGGGTACGACGCCCCCTCAGTAAGGCGGTGCGTAATAAACTTAGGGAGGAATGCCCAAGACCATTGGTACCTGGCAAAGTCTGTGAGACCCCTGTAGTGGACCCAAAGATGACCCATTTCCTCCCCAAGATGGGTTCAAATGCCCGCAAGGGTCTAGCTGCGAGACTTACTCCTTCGGGGAGACTGGATGGCAAAGTTGGATTTGAAGGATGCCTACCTGACGGTCCCAATGGCCGAGTCATCCAGGGACCTGTTACGTTTTCTCTGGAGAGGAGACACCTGGCGCTTCACGTGCCTCCCCTTTGGACTGTCGTCAGCCCCTTGGTGCTTCACGAAACTGATGCGCCCCGCCATGGCTTGGCTGCGCAGTCGGGGAGTCCGGCTAATCGTCTACTTGGACAGCATCCTCATCATGGCACAGGATCATTCAGTCCTTCGGAAACATCTTCAATGGATGATGGACCTCAACTCCCATCTGGGTTTTCTCCTCAACTGGGAAACATCCTGACTATCTCCTTTCGCAACGCATGGAGTTCCTAGGCTTCATGGTAGATTCCTAAGCGGAGTCACTGAGCCTCCCTACGTCCAAGATACGGACAATCCGCAAGGAACTGCGCGCGCTCTAAAGCAAACCCAGCTATCTCTACACCACCTGGCACATATCTTGTTCCCAGCCCAACTCCACTACCGTGCCCTCCAGTGCCTGAAGATTGCACACCTTCGCGGCGGGGCTTCCTATGCGGACATGATCTCCCAGGACTCTGAGACTCTGGATGAATTGACCTGGTGGATCCACAACCTCTTGGCTTGGAATGGCAAGGCCATCTTCGGCTCCCAACCAGAGCTCACGGTGGACTCAGATGCCAGTCTCCACGGCTGGGGTGCCCTACCAGGGGGCGCTGGTCGACAGAAGAATCCCACCTCCACATCAATGCTCTGGAACGCCTGTCGGGTTCATTCGCGATCCAGAGTTTTGCGAACAGGACTGCCAGCTCATGCATCCGCCTGCGCATGGACAACATCTCAGCGGTATGCTATGTCAACCACATGGGTGGCACTCAATCTGCAATCCTGGCCTGCTTGGCGAAGGACTTCTGGGCTTATTGCTTGGACAGGAACCTGGTGGTCTAGGCAGAATACCTTCCCAGGCTCCACAACACTCACGTGGACTGGAGTTCACACTATCTGTCGGACAACAGCGATTGGAAATTGGATGTGGGAGTATTCTCCGCTATATCGTCTATATGGGGTCCTTTTGCCATCGACCTCTTCTCGTCTAGGCTCAATACCCAATTGCCCCGGTTCTACAGCTGGTGCCCGGATCCAACCGCAAAGGCAGTGGACGCCTTCCTACAAGACTGGACCGGCTCACTCCTCTACGCCTTCCCCCCGTTTGCCATGATCCCTCGGGTCCTGCTCCAAGTTTGCCGCCAAATGGCCGACCTGATCCTACTAACCCCATTCTGGGGGACCCAATCCTGGTTCTCACAACTCCTGGAACTGGCAGTTGACGTGCCCAGACTGCTGCCGTCTCTACCAAACCTCCTCCTGGACCCATCGTGCCTCCAGCATCCCCTCCTAGCGGACGGGTCATTACTGCTGCTAGCATGGAGGATTTCGGGAGTCCCTCGGAAATCCAAGGGGTTTCAGACGCAACTCGATGCCTCCTGGCTGGCGCATGGGCTCCCAGGACTAGACGAGCATATGGGACCGCTTCAAGAGCTTGGACTGGCTAGTGTCTGGCTTGGAACTTGCATCCCATTTCAGCACCTGTGACTGTGATCCTCCTATTCCTGACTTCGTTATTTGAAGCTGGTCGGGCATATCACACGATGAATTCGTACAGATCGGCCATCTCCTCGGCTCACCAAGGATTTGACAGCTGCCCAGCAGGCCAACATCCGTTAGTGTGCCGCTTACTTAGGGGCTCACGCCTGTCGCACCCCCCTAGACCTCGTTACTCAACTACATGGGACGTTTCCTGCATTTTGTCGCTGTTCTCCTCCTGGCCGCCTAATGCAGAGCTCTCCCTGCGACAGCTGTCGGCCAAATTGGTCTCCCTGTTCTGTCTCATTTCATGCAAACAGGTATCGGATGTTCGTGCCCTGGACTATGATGCTAGGTCTTTTACTCCGGACGGGTTGACGTTTAACATCTCCAGACGCACCAAGACCGCTATTTGATCTGTTTCTTATCCGAGCTTCCCTGGTACTCCGGCCCTATGTCCGGTGGCCTGCTTGCGTGAATATGAACTTCGGACAAGCGCACATCATGCAACGTCGTCTCCCCAGCTCTTTCTCTCTCTTCGTTGCCCCTTTTCCCCTGTGTCCAGTACTACATTGGCTGCCTGGGTGAAATGGGTGATGTCTCTGGCCGGCGTGGATACGTCCATGGTGAATTCAGGTGCACGTCTGGAAGACCTGATGAGGCTGGCAGACTGGTCCAACGAATCCACTTTTCGTGAGTTTTACTTTCGACCTTTGCCTCACGTTTTTTTCTCCGGTTATTGATCAGCTTAAAACTTGCAGTATGAGCCTCTGTGTCTTGACATAAAATTACATGATTTTGCTATTTCATGACGAAAAGTCATGATTTTATGAAAGACACAGAGGCAAGTACCCTTCTATGTTATTTCACTAATTTACCCCACCCGGTTGTTTATTCTCTCCTAAAGGTTTTCCTGGGTTGGTAGGTATTCATTATGCGCTCTGGGTTTTGTATAGTTTTAGCCGTTTATTAACCTGTTCTTGTTACATGATTATCCGATATGCCTATGTTGAATTATGCACACTGTGTTGCTTCTGTCTAGTTATAAAATGATGTCTTGGCATGCGCACTTTGGTTCAAGTACCGATTTAACCGTTCGGCTCCTGTCTTTTGTGTTTTCACAGGTTGATTCGATGTTGATCAAGGGTCTTCATCACTTCTCTCTCAGCTTCACCAAGTGGCCAGGAAGTTTATGGACAGTGCTGTGATGGGCCCCTCAGTGTTGGAAACCTGTTCCTGATCTGAGTCCGGCTGGATTTCGGGTCGCCTGTTCTATTTGGTTTGGACTGTTTCATCGTTCCTGTTTTGTGGCTATTGTGTCGCATCTCCAAAGAAAGAGGAAATGTGTGGGGATGTGCTGACTATTATACTGGGACTTGGTATGGGTGTGGCCTATCACTATGATTACCATTTTTCTTACTGTTGTATTCTTTGCTGCTATTGGTGGACAGTAAAGAAAGGGTTAAGCAATACTCACCTCCGTGTCTTTCATAAAATCATGACTTTTCGTCATGAAATAGCAAAATCATGTAATTCTGTTGTATATATGGATTGCTCCTTTAGCCTCTAAGGAGTGAACTAGTGTTCACAGCAACAACAATCATGGTAGTATGATTACATATTAAACAGGATGCAAATACCAGGAAGGATTTGGCATCACAAATCACAGCAGATAAAACATTTCTTAATTAGTGCAGAGAACCCAACATATAATACAACATGTCAACCCTAAATGTCCTTAAAAGGATCACCACCCAATATTTTTTTTAATTATGGCGATAATACAATAAAATACTAATAAAAAATATATTTTTTAAAAATGTAAAAAGTAATCTCTTAAAGTGCCCCATAGTGAACTGCTTACTGCGATTGATCTGTCTGTTGCTAAAGGCAGACCACTCCCAATTCAAGGCTAAAACACTCCAATCAGGACTATCTCATTCTGGACCATGGGGACTGATTTGATTATCATCTGCTCAGCATGGGTCATGTGACATGTAGGTAATCCCCAGGGGCGGGCTGGGCCGGGGGGCAGGGAGGCAATTGCCCCCCAGGCCGCCCTAAATAATTAAAAAAACGGCCGCTGCAGGGCCGGTCCCTGGCACCAGGAATAGGGGGGTGCTGCGCGGAGCAGGGCCACCTAGGGCTGCCCGGTAGCAAGGCAGAGTATGCATCTGCTTGTCCCAGACAGCAGGTGCCTACTCTGCAGGAATATACCGGCCGCGTGAGGACGGAGGCAGGTGGCGAGGGAGCACTGCCTCTGCTGATGATCTTCCTGCTCCCTCGCGCGCCCTCTCTGGTGATGCCGGGAGCCGGAATATGATGTCATTCTGGCCCCGCATCACTAAACTGCGTGAGGGAGCAGAGAGGAGCAGGAAGTCACTGGACCCCAGGGAAGGACCCAGAGGACTCCTAAAGGTAGGAGCAACAAGGAATTTGTGTGTGTGTGTGTGTGTGTGTGTGTGTGTCTGGAAGTGAGTGTGTGTGTGTGTGTGTGTGTCTGGCAGTGAGTGAGTGTGTGTGTGTGTGTGTGTGTGTGTGTGTGTGTGTGTGTCTGGAAGTGAGTGAGTGTGTGTGTGTGTGTGTGTCTGGAGTGAGTGTGTGTGTCTGTCTGGAAGTGAGTGAGTGAGTGTGTGTGTCTGGAAGTGAGTGAGTGTGTGTGTCTGGAAGTGAGTGTGTGTGTGTCTGGAAGTGATGTGAGTGTGTGTCTGGAGTGAGTGTGTGTGTGTCTGGAAGTGTACGCGTGTGTGTCTGGAAGTGTGTGCATGTGTGTCTGGAAGTGAGTGTGCGTGTGTGTATGTGTCTGCCTGACAGTGAGTGTTTGTCTGTCAGGGTTTGTTGTGTGTGTGCTATTGAGAGTGAGTGCCAGTGTGTCTGTCAGCAGAGTCAGCCTTTGAGGTGTGCAAGCTGTGGGGTCACGTAGGGTGCCATGACAACAGAGGCACCCGGTGGCCAACACAGTTCACAAGTTTGGGACACCAGCACATTAAATGGACACTCCAGGCACCCAGACCACTTCTGCCCATTGGAGTGGTCTGGGTGCCAACTCCCACTACCCTTAACCCTGCAACTGTAAATATTGCAGTTTTCATAAACTGCAATAATTACATTGCAGGGTTAACTCCTCCTCTAGTGGCTGTCTACTAGACAGCCACTAGAGGGCACTTCCTGGTTTATAGCACAGGTTTTCTGTGCTATAGCGTCGCTGGACGTCCTTACGCTATGTGAGGACCTCCAGTGTCGCTAAAACCCCCATAGGAAAGCATTGAAAGCATTTTCAATGCTTTCCTATTGAGAGATCTAATGCGCGTGTGCAGCATGCGCATTAGGTCTCCCCTGGCAGCCGCACATGCGCAATCGGTCTCCCCCGCCGGATGACGTCAACGAGGGAGGAGCATGGGCGGAGGTCTCAGGTATGTCACTGAAGGGATTCTAATCCCTTTAGCAACATGGGATGGGGGGTGGGAGGGAGAGGGGGCCTGATGTGCCAGGAAAATAATTTGTTTTCCTGGCACTGGAGTGTCCCTTTAATTTAAATGATTCCCTAGTGGTCTACTGGTGCACACCAGCAGTAGGTGCCTTAGATCATATCCTCTCCCTTGTGGTTAGTTAGTGAGTCAGAGCACAGGCTCAGAGATTCTCAGCCTGCTCTCTAACAACAGTGAAAGTCGGAGCCACAAAGGAGTGGGGATGGCAAAGAGCTACTGATTAGCATAACATCAATATCTGTTAAAAAAAAAACAGGAAAAGGTGGACATGGATGATGAGCTGTTTCGGGGTGCAATGGGCCACTTGACTGGATTTGCCCCCCAGGTCTGAGGCTGCCAGCCCTCCCCTGGTAATCGCCTAAAACCAGTTCCAACCATTACATTAGATGATTGGAACTGCTCATTAAACTAACAGCCAGCAGAGATGATTGAAAAAGGAAGATGAGGAAGAGTGAGGAAAATAAAAAGGAAGATGGAATAGGGAAAGGTAACAGAAAATAAATGAGTAAATGGAATGGGTACGGAGAGTGTAGTTCTTAGCACAGGAAGCATGCAGGGGTCTGCATTTTTCTGGTCTCATAGGAATACGTTTCACCACTGATGTTAATTTTCCTGGTGGCACAAACTCTGGAGAATAGAGAAGAAGCTTTCTGAAAACAATCTTTGTAACTGTTCTGGCAACACATTTTGTGTGCCAGGCAAGGACATTATACCTGCCCCTGTACCTCTTATGAAGACACCCACTTATCCCACTTATGGAGACACCAGTCACAAGCAAGAGGAGACCTATCACGGGGGGCCAGGAGGTGGCCATCTAGCCACCTCAGGGCACCCCCAAAGCTGTGCTAGGTAACGCAGAGCAGGCATCTGCTTACCTTGATGGCAGGTACCTGCTCTGCCAGTGACTGGAGGAGGAGAGGGGGAAGGAGAAACCAGGCGGCGAGGGAGGCTATTCTTGCAGCCTCTCACTCCTCCCTCGCGCACCCTCTGTGATGCGGAAGCCGGAATATGATATCATTCCGGCCTCGGCACACTAAACAGCGGGCGGGAGGAGTGAGAGCTGCCCCACACTGGACCCCAGGGAGGTGAGTGTTTGAGTTTTTGACTGTCAGTGAGTGTGTGCGTGTGTTTATTTCTTCTTAATTTATTGTAAAATAAATACTAATTTTGATAAATTGGTGAGTTTCTCTTAATCCATAATTTCCCATAATTTTTTGCAGCTAGTGGAGTATGTGTTGATATAGTATATACTTTGGGTCAATGGTAAGAGATAACACAAATAACACAAACTCTGCTGGCATTGAAAATAGTAGCAGGATCATTTATACGTGATTGTAGGACTAAATACATTTTAGTTGTTTGTGTGGATGTGGCTTCAAGAAATAGACACAAGGCGCACAATCAATCATTCTGAATGTTATAAAAAAAATTTGGCTCAGATACGTTGGCCTAAAATTTGTATTTCACTGATCAATACCAAGCAATTCCCCATTTTTGAGTAACCGTGATTTCCTTAGAGCAGCTCTCACATAAAGTGTAACTTTAACATCTGTTTATACACCTTTTTATATCACAAAAGTGCATCCAGCTGATGAAACTAGCACATAATAAACATATGAATGGTATTATATTATATTATGGGACATTGGACATTGAGGTGGTTCTTTTTTTTCTTCTTGTATAGAGAATATAAAGTTGGGAGAGATGTCCACTGTCTAACCATTCAAGGAGTTAACAGCTTGTGCTCATTCAAAATTACAATTTAAGAGTCCGTTGTTGGAGCTGCCTGGAAATGTGTGTTCAGTACATCAATATTTAAGTAACTGGATCTAACTACAAACCCAAGAAAGCTGGGAGGGGATTGCGCTTACAAAAGCACTGCTCTTTAGGTGGGTCTTAAACACATCATCATTTTAAAACCTTTTTTTTTTCTTCTTTAGCCAAAAGGTCATGTTCATTGACTCTAGCAGTCTTATGTCCTTCACAATCGTTAAATGAGTTTTTTCGTTTCCATTTTCAAATTGATTTTTTTCTTAAAGTCTCCAATCTGTTCATGCTGTTTGATCTTCAATGAAGGAAAAAGCTTTGCAAAAAGGGGACTGGGTCTTTTGGACTTTCAAGATCATGTAAGTGTTATATTTTGTTTTGTATAATTATTTTTACATATCTTTTGTTGACAGCATCTCTTTAGAAAATATGTGATATGTTATTTGTGTTGTATTTTTTTTAATGCTAAGTAACCACGAACTGCATCTGAATAATCTAGAGTTTTCAGGAAATTCTCAAAAAGTTATTTTTCTGATGTTTCTATTTTTTGTAAAATGCATTTGTTTATTATTTGTTTTCCAAATCTGGCTGTGACGGAAATATTCTGCTTATTAAGATAAATGTATATATTAAAACAATTTTTAGAAAAACATTCAATAACAATTCACTGCTGCTACTGTTCTTTCTAGTAAAATCAGAAGAATATGTGATTTTCTTCTTGTGCAGAGCTTAATGCTATGTAGTGCAGAAAGAAGATTATATAATACATATATAATATTCACACTTTACTTGATTTGAGATGCAGACATAAAACTGCAACATTCATGTGATGTTTAGCTAATATTCTCGGCCACGTAACCAAAATGTACACTTTTATACAATTATAAATGGTACATATATAGAAACATATTTCTGGTGGTGCATACATTTAAGTGTGTGTTATTTCTGTGTTTGTAAAACACAAGTAAGGATTTTAACCTCTTTATTGATTTATATTAAAGAACAATTTCACTTATCTGCCCTGAAAACAAAAATATTATTTTTTGAGTCAATTAATCAATTTATGTGTCTGTTTCACACTGTTTCTTATCAGTCATGTCCCTCTATCCTGTGACTGAAAATTAAATATTCAATATTATTTGTACCATCTATAGGATATCCATAATACGACAGAGAAAACACACATACCGTACAGGGATTTTACTTATTCGTAGGTTTTCTTTGAACAGTCGTGATCTCAGTGTAATGCAATCTATATATAGCATCTTCATAATCTACTTTGATTTTATGTTGTTTTATGTTGGCCCTTTTCTCAATATTACACCATAGTCTTGAGGTCTATGGAAATAGTTCTTTATGTATCTAATTGGAAATAGTTATTATTAATAGTGAAAATCTCTATATTAACTCAAAATTAGACATAAATGCATAACGTAATGTCTCCGCACAAAAACTCACCAGTCTATTGGATTTCACAGTAAATATTGACTATTCATCCTGAACTATTTTTATCTCCCAGAGACATTTTACAATTCTCACACAATATTTAACCTACTGAGGCATGAGATAGTTTTAAACACCTTAAAGGGACACTATAGGCACTAAAACAACTTTAGCTTAGTGAAGCAATTTTGGTGTATAGATTATGCCACTGAAGTCTCACTGCTCAATTTCTGCCATTTATGAGTTAAATTACTTTTAACAGCCCTAGACATACCTTCCTGCATGTAATTTGCACAGCCTTCTTAAACACTTCTGGTAAAAAGACATCTAATGTTTACATTTTCTTTACTGCACAATGTGTTTAATTTAGCATTTCTTATCTCCTGCTTTGTTAATAGCTTTCTGGACCCAGCAGGAGCTTCATGTGCGTGTAAAGTTCAATTTACAGAGCAGAAGATAAAAACTTCTAAAGCAGGTTAACATGTGATTGAGAAGTAAACCATTTGTTTGTGTAGGCTATGCCAGTCACAGCCAGGGGAGGTGTGGCTAGGACTGCCTAGACAGAAAAAAAAGTGATTTAATTCCTCAATGGCAGAGAATTGAGCAGTGAGACTGCAGGGGCATGATCTATACCAGTGGTTAAAAACCTTTTAGGTTCAAGGCGCCCTTAATATTTCAATATTTTTCCAAGGCACCGCAAATCAAAATTTCTAGGTTGTATATCTGTAGTAGCACCACTTTGATTTGATTTAAGAACATTCTCATCACAAATAAATGTACATATAAGTTTCATGCCACTAAAATGTCATTTGAAGTTGCAAAAAGAAAGAGGATTTTTACATCCTTGTATATTTTTACTTCAATAGCAGTCGTGGAACACAACCATATGTAACCCAATATTTTTTCGTTATTTCAGATATTTACCTTTCACAGGGGAAAATCACTGAAGTTATTGACAACCATGGTTCATAAGAGCAAATCTTTCTGGATTTCCAATTTTAAGGATCATGCAATTAACATTAATGTTGGGGGATTAAAAAAACGTGTTAGTTCTATCACCTTGTCTCAATTTCCAGACACCAGACTCGGACGGTTACTTTTCTGTGAAACTGAAGAATCGATTCTACAAATTTGTGATGACTATGACCTAGTTTCCAAGGAGTTTTACTTTGATCGAAACCCTGGACTATTTCCCTATGTTCTGTACTTTTATGAGACTGGAAAACTCCATATGATGGACGATTTGTGTGCCTTCTCTTTTTCACAAGAAATTGAATATTGGGGAATTAGTGAGTTCTTCCTTGACTCGTGCTGCAGCTATAGATACCATGAACGGAAGTTAGAAAGCAGGCGACGCAATTGGGATGAGGAAAGTGAGGTGAGCAGTGTTGATACCTCTGTTGATGAAATTTCTGACTTCAATCATGACCTCATGCGCTTTAATACCTTACAGTGTGGAAATTTGCGCAAAAGACTTTGGCTTACCATGGAAAATCCAGGGTATTCTATACCAAGCAAAATTTTTAGTCTCATTTCCATTTGCGTTGTAATTCTCTCAATATCTACAATGTGCATCAACAGCATGCCAGAATACCAGAAGTTAGACAAGGATGAAATTCCTATTGATGACCCAATCCTTCACAATCTAGAATATTTCTGTATCTCCTGGTTTACATTTGAAGTATCTTCAAGGTTGATCCTTGCCCCAAACCTTAAGAAGTTCTTCAAACATCCTTTAAACTTAATTGACATTGTGTCCGTGTTACCGTTTTATTTTACCCTATTGGTTGACTTGACTGTCGGCAGTGATCATGAGTTGGGAAATTTGGGGAAAGTTGTTCAAGTATTTCGCTTAATGAGAATTTTTCGGGTCCTTAAGTTAGCACGGCATTCTACTGGACTACGTTCACTTGGAGCAACACTAAAGGTAAAATATGCTAGACGCAGTTTATTTGTTTTGTTAAATATACATGTTTCCAATTTACTGAGGCTTTGCTTTTTTTAAAGACATGTGCAGATTTGGACCAAATTAGTTTTCCTTTAATCAATTTAAATAAGTATTTTAGGAATATTTGCAATGTTCTCAATTTCACCTTTGTTCTTAAGAGTGGTATTTTTAACAATGTTTAGCAGAGAAAGTGCTGCTAATGTGCATGCTAACTGACCACTATAAAATGCTTTACCATGATTCTATTTTTGCCACAAAAAGTGTCCACCAACATTATTATCTCATATTTTGGCAAATTGGTAATCAGTTGCCATTGTGGAATGTTGCAGACAATAACTTTTTTTTTTTTTTTTTTTAAATTCTTTATTTTTGTAAGACATGTGCAAAGGCATAACAATAATTGTACAACAATGTTTTTTCCTTACATAGTCAGTCATAAGTATGTATTCCCTAACAAGTTAGGGTTGGGATCAAATGTACAGTTCTAGTGCAAGATAGGTACTTATATTGGATGTCTAGTTTTTGTATAGAATCCCTTAAGGGAAAGTGATGTCTCCAGAAAGGGATAGAGAGAAAAAAGAAGAGAGAGAGGGGAAGAAGGTGAGTATGGGGTTGTTATATCCGAGTTTATCTTGCCAGATGAGTGTATTGGGGGGGAGGTGGATCGGTGCGGAACCTCCAGGGAGCGTCAGGAGTCCGTGTCGGCTCCCATGGACCTCTACTAGGCTCTAGGGAGGTGTAGTCGCCCTCATCTACTCATCTGGGATCCCAGGGGTCCCAGACATTATGAAATGTTTTAGCGGTTCCTTTCACTCTAGCCGTAAGGTCGTCCATTAGATGGATCTCTCTAATTCTCTATAGGACTTCAGGTATGCGTGGGGTATCCGGTTTCAGCCAGGAAGACAATAACTTTTTTACATGATAACAAGGTCATCTGTATATGCACTAAAATAAATTTCACTTAAACTATATATTACCTAAAGCTTCCTACTGACTCGTTTGTGCAACCTATGGGAGATATTGAAGCATGAAAATTCATTACACCTAGTTTGATTTTTTTTGTTTTTGTTTCTACACTATTGATACAGATGTAAAAGAAAAAACAAACTAGGTAGCCATGCAATTAAAGGAACACTGTAGGCACCCAGACCATTTCAGCTCATTGAAGTGGTCTGGGTGCAGTTTCCCTTTTGCACCTAGTGCTGCAATGTTAAACATTGCAGCACTAAGTCTGCCCTCAGTGGCTGTCTACGGACTTTTGGTCCGTTATCTGACACTGGACATCTATCAATCCATGATGCGTACACATTAGTAAGTTATATAAATGTAAGTTTCTAAAAAGGGTCAGTTCTTGTTAAATTGTCTCTAATGTAAATTTCTCTAAATTTTATGTATTTGTATCATAATAGACACTTTAATCGCCATAACCAATACAGATTATTGTAGTGGCTATGGCACAATAAGTGTTTGGAGGCTGCCCCACACCATCAATTTTTTAACAGTTTGTTTTAATTAGAATGACAATTAAAGGGCCAGGTCAATCATTTTGTAAACTAGGTAGATGTCTAGAGGGCTACAATAAATACGAGCTGGGGATCAGACATCTCACCAATCAGCCCATTACCATTTAGTTTTATTTCAGGTGCTGATCAAGAGGCTAATTTATTATGCAGCATAATTATTAAGTTCCATTATTGCTACAGCATGGTCAAGCTCTCCTTACTGCAGTCCATGTCTTCTCCTCTTAGATATTCAGTACACTTCTTAAGAGAGACAGGAGTGCACTATTTTTGAAGGGTACAGTGACATGACGTACCATGATACCCGTGCTCAAAACCACATAGCTCCACCTTAAAATCTTGTAAAATAAAGTATAACCTTACCTGTAATCCACTGTGATAAGCACCCCTCATTAGATTCCACACCCCATCTGACGTCATAGCCTCCCTCTCCATGAGAAGAGAAGCATATGATTGATGAATAATTTGATTGGCCTATTCTTCCAGTTCAGATCACATGGGTGAGCTCTGGGCTGGGTAGAGGTGGGGAGAAAGGAGGGAGAGTAAACAAAAAAAGAAGCACTATCGGGAGAAGAGGACAACAGGGAGGGCTCAATTTGGAGAAGGGGATCAAAGCTTCCATTAGCAGGCACGCTCCCAGCGCTGTCGCCAAGGCGAGAAGCTGACCACTTTTGTGCACACTGATGACTGACATATTTTATGCATAGACTTGATATTAAGCAACCAAGAACAGAGTTCTGGCTCCCTGAGTCATGTGTGCTGGGGTATAACTAGCCCCTGGCACAAAAGTGCAAATATCTCTGAATGGGCTGTGTTCCAAGCAGAAATGCTGCATAAAGAGATTCCTACCACCATGACCACTTTTAAAAGCAGAAGTGTCCATGACAGTTGGAACAACCCTTAAAGCACCATTTACTGATTGTTATGCTACACACAAAATTGTACAGGCAGCCACTATCTCTCTAAATTTCAAAGAGAAAAAAGATCAAGTTAACAAGTCCATATTCACGTTATGTCTGTGTGATTGCATATCCCAAAGATCAACCATCAATAAAAAAGAAAAAAGCCAGACATATGCATTTAAAAAATATATATAAGTAAACCATATGCCTGATTGAAATGAACAATTCTCATAACAGAAATTAACCTCAAAGTTAAGGCATCAACTTTGACCCAAAGGGCCATCACACATATGTACCTAGCACAATACAAAATTAAAAACATGTATACTAGGTGTATTGAATTGTAGACATGTACATCAACCTTCAAAGCAGATACCTCCTGTACCTATCTCTCCAAGGTCAATCACAATTGAAGTGTGCATGGGTAGAGTGAGCCTTTTGTACTGCCCAGTTGTAGTTCCTATGGCTACAACTTAGATAAATGCTAAGAAATTGACATAGTATCAAGGTTGTAAACCAGTCTGTATACTTTTCAGCAAATATCTACAGTCTGTTAGTAATGATAACATATTACAGCTTATATTTAGCAACCATACTGCAAAATAGTTTTGTCCTCAAAGAACAATTAGTATGACTATCACTGGGAGATTAAACATCTTCAACTTAATTGATTTGGCCATGTCATTCAGGTGGAAACACACCTATACTATTTAAGTGCAGGGTCTACCCACTTCTATGAATTTTCAAATTATCAGTTGTGTAAAGTCTCTAATAAATCCTTACAAACGTATTCCCAGTTGTTTTCATTGTAGCCACATGTCCTCAACTCAGCTATTAGAAGAAAAGTTCCCATGACTCCTTACAAGATTTGTTTTTTCCCAACACTTCTGTTAACCCCTTCCAACCAAGCTATTATTAAGTTAATAAGAACATACAATGAAAAAAATTCTAAAAGAACTTTCTCCCTTCAGATCACGAAGCCAATTAGGGTTAATAGAGCTAAGAATATGGAAACCCCTTTGCTTGGCTCAGTGGCAAACGTTATACAAGCTTAATTGAATCTTGTATCATCCTGTATGGTTAAAAATACACATTGACTGCTAACATAAGCTCCCACCAAAACCCAAGGGAAACAAAATAAATTTCCATTGAATGTTTGCCTCTAGCCTTAGTGCCTGCTAAGATGTTACTACAAACTGTAAAAAAAAAAAAAACTGCCTCTCCACAGTGTGATTCAACATCTTTTATAGGACAAATTAACCATTTCTGCTAGTGCAGTAATGAGCAAAAATAGCTTCAAACTGTTGTTTAGCTTAGATCTGTTTTTTACAAAGAGGAGAGACATAGTTACCCATCGATAATCAACAAGTGTTTCAGGGGGCATGGCCAAAAGGACACTTCTCTTATAATGAGTGACAGTGAACTAATCCAAAAAAAATATTGTACAAACTGCTGTAGACTTTCAGGACAACTGTCACCTCAAAAGTATCTTTTAAATAATAATCCTTTCATCAAGTTTTGAAAGAAAGTTTTTTTTTTTTTTTTATTACAAATATTTGACCATAAACCTTTAGTACATGACAGGATCCTTTAGCCATATATATGCACCTTGGGAAAGACAGTATTTAAAAATTGACAGTCTCAACAATAGCAGTTCGGCAAGCTCTAATACTCTGATAGAGTCTCAGCCCTCAGTACCACAATCTTCAGAGCAAAGACTACTGAATAACATTATAAAAATATATACTTTAGTTGCTATGGATGATGATAAAAGTGAGCAAATGGTCAAACGATATCTAGATCTTGGGCAGCCACCGTTAGTAATATTCGCTAGTGACTAATCTGAATGTGTTGTAGGAAGCATTCACATGAAAAATTTTAAAAATGTACAGTCTGTCCTCTATAGAGACTATGGCACTGGAGATGTGATTAATTCGTCCCTATGGCACTGGAAATGTGACCAATTCATCCCTACCTTATGTCTACAAATACTCGCAGTTTAGGGAATAAGATCCATGAACTTGTGGCAATAATGGCAACTGATAGTGTAGATTTAGTCGCTGTTACTGAGACATGGTACAATGAGAAAAATGACTGGGACATAGCAATACCAGGGTACTCTTTATATAGGAAAGATAGGGAAGGCAAGAAAGGGGGAGGGGTGGCCTTGTATGTGAAGGATAGCATAAAATCTAGCCTAATAAAAGTTAGTGAGGCAAACATAGAGTCCGTTTGGGCTACGTTAGAATTTGGTAATCACACAGTAACTCATGTAGGTGTGATTTTATAGGCCCCCAGGACAAACTGAAGAGTTAGATAATCTACTAGTTGAGGAAATAGCTAAAATTGGAAAACAAAAATAGCTACTTGTGCCAGGAGCACACATATTCTAAACTCCCTACTGGGATTGTCTCTAAAACAAGTTGTTGAGGAGCCAACTCGTAAAGAGGCCATACTAGATTTAGTGTTAACAAATGGAGATTTGGTATCAGATATTACTGTAGGTGAAAGTTTAGGATCCAGTGATCATCAGTCAGTGTGGTTTAATATAAGAACAGTGACTGAGTCACACCACACAAAACCAAAAGTTTTAGACTTTAGAAAAACAGACTTTTCTAAAATTAGAATTTGTGTAGAGGAGTCATTATCATACTGGAGCAATTTAAATGGAGTCCAAGAGAAATGGGATTATTTAAAAGCTGCACTATTGAAGGCAACAGAAAATTGCATTAGGCTTGTCAGTAAAAGCAAAAAATTCAAGAAAACACTGTGGTACTCCGCAGATGTGGCCAAAATAGTTAAAGACAAAAAGTTAGCATTTAGGAATTATAAAAAAACCCAGAGTGAGGAAGACAAAATGATCTTTAAGATTAGGCAGAAAGAGGCTAAGCAAGTTATAAGAGCTTCCAAATCACACACAGAAGAGAAAATAGCACAGTCAGGTTCTATTTCAACTGTCAAAAGTAAAGACAAATAAGTCAATGGGACCTGATGGAATACACCCAAAGCTATTAAAAGAGCTTAGTGGTGTACTAGCAAAACCATTAACAGATTTATTTAACCAATCATTGTTAACAGGAGTAGTCCCAGAAGATTGGAAGTTAGCGAATGTTGTGCCCATTTACAAGAAAGGTAATAGGGAGGAGTCGGGCAACTATAGGCCAGTAAGCCTTACTTCAGTAGTGGGGAAAGTGATGGAAACCATGTTTAAGGATAGGATTGTTGAACATCTAAAAACACATGGATTTCAAGATCAGAGACAACATGGGTTTACTTCAGGGAGATCATGCCAAACTAATCTTATTGATTTTTTTGATTGGGTAACTAAAATTATAGATCAGGGTGGTGCAGTAGACATTGCTTACCTAGATTTCAGTAAGGCTTTGACACTGTTGCACATAGAAGGCTTATCAATAAACTGCAATCTTTAAGTTTGGATTCAAATATTGTTGAATGGGTAAGGCAGTGGCTAAGTGACAGACAACAGAGGGTTGTAGTTAATGGAATATATTCGAAGGTTGGACTTGTCACCAGTGGGGTACCTGTACTTGGACCCATTCTCTTTAATATTTTTATTAGTGATATTGCAGAAGGTCTTGATGGTAAGGTATGTCTTTTTGCTGATGATACTAAGATATGTAACAGGGTTGATGTTCCAGGAGGGATAAGCCAAATGACAAATGATTTAGGTAAACTAGAAAAATGGTCAGAATTGTGGCAACTGACATTTAATGTGGATAAGTGCAAGATAATGCATCTTGGCGTAAAAACCCAAGGGCAGAGTACAGAATATTTGATAGAGTCCTAACCTCAACATATGAGGAAAGGGATTTAGGGGTGATTATTTCTGATGACTTAAAGGTAGGCAGACAATGTAATAGAGCAGCAGGAAATGCTAGCAGAATGCTTGGTTGTATAGGGAGAGGTATTAGCAGTAGAAAGAGGGAAGTGCTCATGCCATTGTACAGAACACTGGTGAGACCTCACTTGGAGTATTGTACGCAGTACTGGAGACCGTATCTTCAGAAGGATATTGATACCTTAGAGAGGTTCAGAGAAGGGCTACTAAACTGGTTCATGGATTGCGGGATAAAACTTACCAGGAAAGGTTAAAGGATCTTAACATGTATAGCTTGGAGGAAAGACGAGACAGGGGGGATATGATAGAAACATTTAAATACATAAAGGGAATCAACACAGTAAAGGAGGAGACTATATTTAAAAGAAGAAAAACTACCACAACAAGAGGATATAGTCTTAAATTAGAGGGACAAAGGTTTAAAAATAATATCAGGAAGTATTACTTTACTGAGAGGGTAGTGGATGCATGGAATAGCCTTCTAGCTGAAGTGGTAGAGGTTAACACAGTAAAGGAGTTTAAGCATGCGTGGGATAGGCATAAGGCTATCCTAACTATAAGATAAGGCTAGGGACTAATGAAAGTATTTAGAAAATTGGGCAGACTAGATGGGCCGAATGGTTCTTATCTGCCGTCACATTCTATGTTTCTATATTTCTATGTTTACCTTCAGTATGTGGCAGGATCCTTCAGCCATATACATGCACCTTGGGTAAGACACTGTTTAAAAATCGACAGTCTCACCAATAGCAGTTCGGCAAACTCTAGTGACTAATCTGAATGAGTTGGAGGAAACATTCACATAAAAAATTGTAAAATTTGTCTTCTATAGTGACTATGACACTGGAGATGAAGTATTTTATTTTTCTGTCTTTCTTCACCTTCCTCTCTCTCACTTACGATGCAGGATTTTTTTGCCTTTCAAATGCTACAATGCTACAAAGTTTTTTTTCCTGCTTGCTTTTGTAAAGGATCACCTGGCACCCCGACTGGGTACCTCCGTTGAAGGATGCTCCTAGCGCTTCCTGAGGGCTCCAAGCACTCCAGCAGACACCATAATCACCGCAGACCCCACGAACTGCCGCAGCTTGGTTAGGGGCCCCCCGTCTCCTTCCCACCCTGGACCTCCGACAAGGCTCCAGGTTCCAGTGGGTGAACCTCTCTTCCAAGAGAGCGAAGCAGGAACAAGCTCTTACAAGCTTGTTCCTCTGATTAGCCAAGGGAGCATGCAGAGCATAGCAATCCCTTGTAGTGATATAGCAGTTCCCCCAATAAGAGACAGGACTCTAGATTGAGGGTCAAGAAGATCTGTTTTAATCAGCTACAAAGGGCCTTCTTTTATGCAGGTTTTACACATACAGTACCGCCCACAGGGTTTTGTAAAACAACCAATAACACACGTACAATACAGGTAAACACTCCCAATCATTCCCACAAAAATCCTCCCCTCTGCCTGTGATATAATTACTGTACACAATGGGTTAATGTAATTATCACAGGCAGCAAAAATATACTTTTAATATATGTACTGTAACTTTAAACCTATATATTCAATCTTCATAAAAATCATATATTCTTACTCAGCATACTTCAAATATAAACACTCTAAGAAATCAGACAATTCCATCCAGGGGTTAAAAAGTTAGTCGGAAGTCCTTTGTGACCGACCGCAAGCACATTTTCCTGCCCAAAACAGTTCCATAGATTTGGGCTGTGCGGTCAGTCAATTTTACACTGAAAAAATGACTAAGTCCCATTCGCATGCACGATTGTGGCACCGTTTGTGCAAATAGCTTAGTCTAACTGTGTGTTTAAATCACTGAACGTGACAGACGCTGCAGCTGAAAACTGAGTGGAAGAGACGGTGTTCGTGCAAATGTGTAGTCGATTTCAGTTCCATGAATTTGGCTGCACACACCGCTGACCGCGTGCGAATGAATAAAGATGGCCACCGCCACATGTTCGTTTGTGCGAACAGCGACCACCCAGCGGTCGGCAATTTACCTACAGCAGGCTCCCAGCCTGGGAGGTAAATTGCCTGCACGATTCCACTTCTGTGTGGTCCGCCTGTGTGGTACTTGGTTCAGTAAGCCCCATTTACTGAACCAAGTGGGTGAAAGCCATGCACCAAGGATTTCAAAGGTCTGGGGACATAGTCTTAAAGGGGCATTGACACACAAAGTCTCAATATGTCCCCAGACAGTTCTTAAAGGGCCATACACAGTCCAATTGAAGTCCATAAGCCCCAAGACTGTTGTTAAAGGGCATGATCTCCCAGGGGCCATAGTCAGAAGGTAGGAGGCGGGCAACCAGTCCCCTCCAAAAACCAGTGACGAGGTCACTTTCGCCACAGTTTTAATAAAGGGATATTGTAGTCACCAGAACAGATTAATGTAGTGGTTCTGGTGTCTATAGCAGTGGCGGATCGGGGGAGGGGGGGCAACGGGGCAATTGCCCCCCCCCCCGAAACAGAAGTGCAGCACGATGAGAGGGCTTTCGGTGGCCCTGCTTTGCTGCTGTCATTCTATCTACAGCCCTTGTACATTGGCAGCACCAGTCTCCACACCCTTGTGACAGGCTCTGCCCCTTTAGGCCCCACCCCCCATCAGGGAGGGGGGAATACACTTTTTTTTTCTTCAGCCCCCCAAGTGCAGCCCCTATGCCCAAATTTCCCCCCTTACCATCCACTAGAGCCCCTAACCTCCCCAACTAAAGCCCCTAACACCCCTTCTAATGCCCCTTACTCCTTACTACACTCCTAACCTCCCACTACAGCCCCTAACACTCCTACTAAATCCCCTTACTCCTTACTACACCCTAAACCCCCACTACAGCCCCTAACACCCCTTCTAATACCCCTTACTACACGCCTAACACCCCACTACATCCCTGAACACCCCTACTAAAGCCACTTACTCCTTACTACACCCCCAACCCCCAATAAAATGTTTATAAGGCCCTATACCTGCTATAAATATTAATCAAAATGTGTTTTTACATTGTTTTAAGATATCTATTTGTAACATGCATTTTGATTGGCTGCCCTTAGTTTTGGCGCCAATTTTAATTATTTGTATTCTTATTTAAACCTACTCTGCCAGGTATTATGTCCTATTCCATTTTGAAGAAGCCGTGTAAGGCGAAACGCGTTGTGGATATTTTATATTGTGTATTTTATATATTAAAGATTCTTTGGTCACTTTACTTGTGCCAATCATCTTTTTATACACGTCATACTGTTTTTACTTTTTTTACCTGCCATTTTATCATCCTGGACTCCAAGTAATCCTAGGTGGGGATCATACCACTAACGCTATCATCAAGGGGCAGTTGGTCTGCTCCTCTCTTGTGAGTACCATTTTATATATCTTAAATACCATTGTTTTATCCAGTGAGCACTATTGGTTGTCTCCTTTTACCCTTCTCTTTGAGTGTTGAACATACCCCTGACGGAGGAAGTCTATCCAATATCCCGTAAGCGGGGATTGAACCGCTGTACGCTCTTCACACTAGAGCTAGCTATAGCTCTAATATATGTGAGTTTATTACCATATTTTTATCATTTGCTATATTAGACTGGACATACTACACTATTTGGTTCTCTATCTGTTTTATCTTTTCATATGAGTGGATCTACTTGGGCAAGGACAGCGAGGACATTGTTCCTGACCAAGCACCTTATAGACTATCTGATCTTAATAAGATCATTCCAGTTAAGACTCTTTTATTTAGATTATCTTTTATTTTAATTATTGTATGTTACAAGGTCTCTCTGGCACAGCCCTTATCTCTCTCTCATATATATATATCCCTAGTAGAGAGCACTATGGAGTCTTGGTAAGATAAATTCAAACATAGAAATATAGAATGTGACAGCAAACTGCTGCTTTATTAAGCAAACACAGTGATTAACACAATAGTCAACGTTTCAGTCTATGCAGACTTTTTTTCAAGACAATTTACAATGTGAGCTTGTGGCTGTTATATACATAAGAAAAAAGTTTGATTGGAGGGTGTGGTAATGTAAACGAGGTAGTGTGACACCACCTGATGATGTGGTGTAAGAGAATTAGCATAAGTGATCAGGTTTAACCCTGTGAGGGTGAGAAAAAGCACAAAGAATATATATACAGAATATACAAAAAAGGATCTCTGAGAACCTAAAAGAATAATAATATGTGTATTGTTCTGTCTGTAGTATCAAAGCTTCATAGTCGAAAGAGGCACAGAGTGTAGTTTAAATTGTGACTAATATACACTGCTCAAAAAAATAAAGGGAACACTTAAGCAACACAATGTAACTCCAAGTCAATCACACTTCTGTGAAATTAAACTGTCCACTTAGGAAGCAACACTGAGTGACAATCATTTTCACATGCTGTTGTGCAAATGGGATAGACAACAGGTGGAAATTATAGGCAATTAGCAAGACACCCCCAATAAAGGAGTGGTTCTGCAGGTGGTGACACATACCACTTCAGTTCCTATGCTTCCTGGCTGATGTTTTGGTCACTTTTGAATGCTGGCGGTGCTTTCACTCTAGTGGTAGCATGAGACGGAGTCTACAACCCACACAAGTGGCTCAGGTAGTGCAGCTCACCCAGGATGGCACATCAATGCGAGCTGTGGCAAGACGGTTTGCTGTGTCTGTCAGCGTAGTGTCCAGAGCATGGAGGCGCTACCAGGAGACAGGCCTGTACATCAGGAGACATGGAGGACGCCGTAGGAGAGCAACAACCCAGCAGCAGGACCGCTACCTCCGCCTTTGTGCAAGGAGAAACAGGAGGAGCACTGCCAGAGCCCTGCAAAATGACCTCCAGCATGCCACAAATGTGCATGTGTCTGCTCAAACGGTCAGAAACAGACTCCATGAGGACCCGACGTCCACAGGTGGGGGTTGTGCTTACAGCCCAACAACGTGCAGGACGTTTGGCATTTGCCAGAGAACACAAAGATTGGCAAATTCGCCACTGGAAGCCTTGTGCTCTTCACAGATGAAAGCAAGTTCGCACTGAGCACGTGACAGACGTGACAGAGTCTGGAGACGCCATGGAGAACGTTTTGCTCCCAGCAACATCCTCCAGCATGACCGGTTTGGCAGTGGGTTAGTAATGGTGTGGGGTGGCATTTCTTTGGGGGGCCTCACAGCCCTCCATGTGCTCGCCAGAGGTAGCCTGACTGCCATTAGGTACCGAGTTGAGATCCTCAGACCCCTTGTGAGACCATATGCTGGTGTGGTTGGCCCTGGGTTCCTCCTAATGCAAGACATTGTTAGACCTCATGTGGCTGGAGTGTGTCAGCAGTTCCTGCAAGACGAAGGCATTGATGCTATGGACTGGCCCGCACATTCCCCAGACCTGAATCCAATTGAGCACATCTGGAACATTATGTCTTGCTCCATCCACCAACGTCACGTTGCACCACAGACTGTCCAGGAGTTGGCAGATGCTTTAGTCCATATCTGGGAGGAGATTCCACAGAAGACCATCCACCACCTCATCAGGAGCATGCACAGGCATTGTAGGGAGGTCATACAGGCACGTGGAGGCCACACACACTACTGAGCCTCATTTTGACTTGTTTTAACCCCTTAAGGACCAAACTTTGGGAATAAAAGGGAATCATGACATGTCACACATGTCATGTGTCCTTAAAGGGTTAAGGACATTACATCAAAGTTGGATCAGCCTGTGGTGTGTTTTTCCACTTAAATTTTGAGTGTGACTCCAAATTCAGACCTCCATGGGTTGAACAATTTGATTTCCATTTTTTAATTTTTGTGTGATTTTGTTGTCAGCACATTCAACTATGTAAAGAACAAAGTATTTCAGAAGAATATCTAATTCGTTCAGATATAGGATGTGTTATTTTTGTGTTCCCTTTATTTTTTTGAGCAGTGTATATCAAAGTGCAGAGCTGATACAGAGAAGTAGAAATGAGGATACTAAAGTTACTATGAAAGCTCAGATGGCAGATACATACATAAAGGTACTACTCCAATAAATTTGCACAGGTCCAGACAGATCTCCATAACATACTTGTTTGACATACCAGTGATAAAGAAAATATATTTACTAGCATAACAAAGATTAATAATGTAAATTAATAGCGTAACCTAATAACTTCTATGTTATCATCCACCCCTTATATACAATTAGCAAAACACCCCCAATAAAGGAGTGGTTCTGCAGGTGGTGACCACAGACCACTTCTCAGTTCCTATGCTTCCTGGCTGATGTTTTGATCTCTTTTGAATGCTGGCGGTGCTTTCACTCTAGTGGTAGCATGAGACGGAGTCTGCATTAGTCTACATTATATACAGCTTCATCTTCATTATTAAAGTGCATCATCTTCTTTGAAGAAAGCAATACAACGAGTTCTTCTCATTTAGTCCATATGGGAATATTGTTCCCAAGTTGTGTATCCAGAAAGCAGCAGTTTGAATTTACCTTACCAAGACTCCAGAGTGCTCTCTACTAGGTATATATATATATTGGTTGGAGATTGTGCACCGGAAGAAGACGGGGAACAGTGCTGGGTCCTGGAAATATATATATTTAGTATTATATATATATATATATATATATATTTATTTTTATTTTTTTTATTTTTTCATTCTAAGTGTATTTTTATATACATATGATATATATATAAAATTTCATTCTAAGTGTATTTTGATATAAATATATATATTAATATGAAAATACAGTTAGAATAAAATATTTGTATAAAATACAAAGTTGCTTGCACTCCTGGAATAGGTAAATAATGTGCCCGGTGCTGGTCAGGCAAATAGCATAGAAAAACTGAAAATGACCACACTCAGGGACTTGTAAATATCACTAAAACTTAACTTTTAATGTTCAAAATATATCAAATCAACGTTTCAGCCCTATATTTGGGCTTTCATCAGGATGGTAAAAACACCATCCTGATGAAAGCCCAAATATGGGGCTGAAACGTTGATTTGATTTATTTTGAACATTAAAAGTTAAGTTTTAGTGATATTTACAAGTCCCTGAGTGCGGTCATTTTCTGTTTTATATATATATATATATATATATATATATATATATATATATAACATTTCTTTAAAATTATTTTTACTTTTTTTGTATTTATTTTGATTTACTTATTTATATTTTATAATATATATATAATATATCTAGTTATTATATATACGTGTGTAATTTAATTCTAAGTGTATTTTTATATTAACATATGTATATATTAATATAAAAATACACTTAGTATGACATAATATATTTGTGTTCAGGGCAAAGAAGCCATAATAACAGTATATAACTTATATACTGCATATAACCAAATAGAAAATAAGAACAGTCGGTTGTGGTGTGCCAAAACCAACAATGCAGTAGGCCTGTAATAAAAGAGGGCAAAAAGAGTATACCATACAAGACTTATTTCAGCCTACAATTTGACAATCATAAAGCATAGATCATATGTGCATGTTACAAAAAGCTTTGCTTATTTCCTGTATTGGTTAGGGTATGTTTTTGGTATATGCAGATGAATTCCACCGTCCCAAGGTCTTGATAATATGTACCGGTATGATCCTACTGGAAGCAGTGGTGGCTGCTCCAATGCAGAAGGAGTGTCCTGAGTAGTGGGATGGATTGAGGCCTAACCTTGCCAATAATACAGAGCATGAATTTACTAGAGGTGAGAGCATTGCTATGTAAGGTAAACAAAGGTTGGTCAGAGGAACCGGGAACAATGGTTAGGAATTTATCTATTACCTGTACCGGTAGGGTAATAGGAAATCTTTACCAGTTGATTTTTAGAAGTGGTTTTAGTGTGGTTGAGGGATAGTATATAGTGATCTTGTATTATAACCATCTCGTAATGGCGTCTTGGGATGTGATGTTTGTAGTGGTAAACTCTCCGGGTCTAAGGAACCCATAGAAAGTGAAGTAGATAGCGGTTTTAATGGCATGATTAATGTTTGATTCGAAAAGGGGTTGTATCTATGAGGTCTGATAAGGATTGGAAGAGTTGACTATGAAGATGGTGGTATATGGTTTGAATTCTTAATACAAATACAGATACAAGTCGGGCACTTCAATACTTAATAAATCTATGCAAAGAAGGGTGAAAAAAGGTGTTGCCCCCACACCTTGATGGAAATAAAGAAAAAAATAACACCAACAACAAAGTGTAAGAAAACACAGAGTGAGAGTGTACCCTTCAAGCAAGATATAAATATAAAATAAGTAAATACTTATGCATATACATGAATGGCAGGATGGTCATAAACAATACCTAAAAAAACAATAACACAAAACATAGTGTGTACTGCCAAAATACAAGTGAGTGTAGATGAATAATTGGTTCAACTCATGGATTCCAGAGCCGTGCCAGGCTCTGTATAGAAAGCCCAAGGGTGCCTAAACAGGCTAAAACGAATAACCATGGACCACTGGAATCAGATGGATCACGGAGATAGGAGGAGCCACAGCAGCAAATAAGTGGATCAAATAATACATTTATTTAATAAAAAAACAAAGTATAAAATAAGCTTACAAAAAAGGTTGAACCAATTATTCATCTATTCGTATTTTGGCAGTACACACTATGTTTTGTGTTATTGTTTTTTAGGTATTGTTTATGACCATCCTGCCATTCATGTATATGCATAAGTATTTACTTATTTTATATTTATATCTTGCTTGAAGGGTACACTCTCACTCTGTGTTTTTTACACTTTGTTGTTGGTGTTATTTTTTTCTTTATTTGAATTCTTAATGCCGTTTAGTATAGTTTTGAATAGATAAGATGATCGGAAACTGTGGTTGTTTGGCCAATGTGTAAGTATATGGTGTTACATAGTTACATGAAAAGAGCGTCCATCAAGTTCAGCCTTCCTCACATTTGTTTTTTGCTGTTGATCCAAAAGGCGGCAAAAAACCCCAGTTTGAAGCACTTCCAATTTTGCAACAAGCTAGGAAAAAAAATCCTTCTTGACCCCAGAATTTTAATTTTTGGGGGGAGGGGGTGACTAGGGGTTTGGGGACCCCTAGTCACCTGGGGGATAGTGTTTTTTTTTTTTTTTATTTAGGGCCCCCACCCAGCGGAGGACATTAGGTCCCCCCCTAATTAGTATTTAGGGCCCCCATCCACCGCTCAGGGGTGGGGGGTCAGGGGGTAGGACATTAGGTCCCCCCTATTCTGATTTAGGGCCCCCAACCACCGCTCAGGGGTGGGGGCCAGGGGGGAGGACATTAGGTCCCCCCCCAATTAGTATTTAGGGCCCCCACCCACCGCTCAGGGGTGGGGGCCAGGGGGGAGGACATTAGGTCCCCCCTATTCTGATTTAGGGCCCCCATCTGCCGCTCAGGGGTGGGGGCCAGGGGGGAGGACAATAGGTCCCCCCATTACTTTACGGCCCCCACCCACTGCTCATGGGTGGGGGCTAGGGGGGGAGGACAATAGGCCCCCCCCCTTATTTTACTTTAGGGCCCCCATCCGCCATTCAAGGGTGGAGGGCAATAGGTCCCCCCTTCGGGTTAGGAGGGGGAGGGGGAGGGGGGACAGGCTGCTCACTGTTTAATAGACATGCCCCTACTCGCGGTATAGCGAGTAGGGGCATAATTTACTAATACTAAGTAATCTACAATATAATTTGCTAATACTAAGTAAATCTTTACTTAGTATTAGTAAATTTGGCTGAAAGACCAAATAAAAACATGACACAATAGAAATAATCCATGTGACCTATGTGGGGTTTGGCTCACACTAAGCTTGCAAGAAATAGAAAGCTGTTGTGTAAAACTTTTCCAAGCTGTGCAAGTTCAACCAAAGAGCTCTGAGAACTGCTCAGTTGCTAGCCTTTGGTTGCTCGCTGTTTAGCAGACATGCCTCCACTCATGGCATGGGGCAGGTATAAAACCTCCCTTTTATGAATCTCGGGGCCACAGGCAGTTTTCTCACAGGCAGTTTTCTTTAATCTGTTTTGCCAATGGCAGATAACCGCTAATCCTGATGTAACTGGCTATTGGGTGTTTCGGTTGCTTGGGGATTAGATCATGTGTTGGCTCAGAGTTTTGTTTTTGGCAGAATTGACAGATTGGGCAAATGGGCAGAATACCAACTCTCCACTTCTGGTGCCTATTCGGATGAGTCTACAGCAGCAGAATAACACCTAGCAGGGTTACATTGCAGCCATGCACAATACAACATTGCTCACCCAGCTCATATAAATACTAATCTAAATATGGTTTCTGTTGGCATGGTGGCCCTCTAACTATGACCTAATCTAGCCTACCCTGTCATATCATTTATGTCACAGGCAGATGCATTTATATCAAAAATTGTGGTGGGAACAGAATTCTTTTTTTCTTATTATTTATAATTCTCACTGGACACACAGAGCAGTTTACACAGAGCAGTTTTTTATAAGACATTTTCCCATCTCTAACAGAGTCTTTGCTTGAGTAAACATACATTCTGTAAACTGTATAATAACAGAGAAGGTTAGCTTGCAGTGTACCAAAAGGGAAAGCTAGGTAGATAGGTGTATAATCCATATACAGTTATGGGAAATAGAAAGTAGAGCCTCTTTGAATTCCATGGTTTTACATATCCGGACATAATAACAAGCATCTATTCCTTAGCAGGTCTTAAAATTAGGTAAATACAACCTCAGATGAACAACACATAACATATTAGACCGTGTCAAGATTTATTTAACAAAAACAAAGCCAAAATGGAGAAGGTGTGAAAAACGAAGTACAACTTATGATTCAATAGCATGTAGAACCACCTCAGGGACGGATCCAGAACCTAATCTCGGGAGGGGCACTGGTAGGTACAATCCAGGCACAATAACCACTACAGCTCTTTGTAGTGGTTATGGTGCCAGGAGGGGCATGGCACACTACCAGAGTAAGTAGTCAAACCGTTTAAGAACATTTTGACACCTTAAATTTGGTCTGCCAGGATAGGAGCTGTAGTAAGGGAAAGGGACTATAGTAGGTAAGTGGTGCAGTGTGTATGTGAGGGGTGCAGTCAGGGCCGGATTAACATAGGGGCTGATGGAGCTGCAGCTCCAGGCCCAGGCCCATGGATTTAAAAAAAAAAAAAAATCTTTTTACATTTTTTTTTTTCACACACTACTCTTAGGGATTCCACCTGGCTTTTATTTTATTGGCACAGCCAGTATTTGAGGCTGCCTGGCTGGTGCCAATATTGCAGTGATACCGCAATACAAATGCTGGTATTTTTCTCAGTTTAAACAAGAGATTACTATTCAATACCAGCACTGGCCAGTAGGGGTCGCTGTATGTGGAGACAGGCAGGGATAGGAAGTTCCAACATATCCCTCCCTGCCTATCTATATACTCACTGATCTGCAGGGGTGCAGCTACAGAGAGTCCAGACACCAACTCCCACCCTGCAGAGACAGCCTACAGCTCAGGGAAGTAAGGGATGGGGGAAAAGGCTGCAAGGAGACATACACTGAGACACAAGGGACATTGATAGACATTATGACACAGACACATGGGGACACAGTGTCCCCATGTCTCCCAGCCAGTGTCCCTGGTGTCTCAGTGCCCCCTAGTCTTCCAGTGACCCCTAGTCTCCCAGTGCCCCCAGTCTGCCAGTGTCTCACTGTCCCCATGTCTCCTAGTGCCTCCATGTCTCTCAGTGCCTCAAGTGTCACAATGTCCCCATGTCTCCAAGCTAGTGTCCCTAGTGTCTGTGGCCCTGGTGTCTCAGTGTCCCCATGTCTCAATGACCCCATGTCCCCCAGCCAGTGTCTCTAGTGTCTGTGTCCCCATGTCTTTAAGTGTCCCCTATTTTCCCATTGTCCCCATGTGTCCCAGCCAGAGTCACCTAGTCTCCCAGTGTCACTGGTGTCTCCGTGTCCCTAGGTCTCCTCGTCTTCCTAGTGTCCTAGTGACATGGGGACCCTGGGATACATGGGGACACAGGGAGACATGGGGCATTGAGACACTGATACATAGGATCACTGGGAGACCTAGGGACATGACACTAGGGGACACTGGGAGACATGGGGCACTGAGACACTGATACATAGGAACACTGAGACCTGGAGTAATCGACACATGGGGGCACTGAGTCATGAGGACACTAGGAGACATGGGGGCACTGAGAGGAATCCATCTATACAGCAGAATCAAACTAAGTCGGTTTTTGGTGATTTTACAGCATTTTCTCTTATGTCACTCTTTGTGATTTACATCATGTGATGTCATCCATATATATTTAATTATGCAAATTAGTAAGGCCGGTATGTTTTTCCAAGAAAGGTGGCAACCCTAACTACTTTTCACATACTCTTACTTAAGTATGGAAACTTAAGAGGGATGTATGGGAACAAAACTTGTGTGGACTGGCTGACAATGAATATAGTTAAAGGGACACTATAGTCACCCAGAACAACTACAGCTTATTGAATTTGTTCTGGTGAGTAGAATCATTACCGTTAGGCTTTTTGCTGTAAACACTGTCTTTTCAGAGAAAATGCAGTCTTTACATTACAGCCTTGTGATAACTTCACTGGCCACTCCTTAGATGGCTGTTAGAGATCCTTCCTGGGTCATGGCTGCCTAAAATGCATCCAAACATTCAGTGTCTCCTCCCACTGAACTTTCCTCATAGAGATTCATTAATTCAATTCATCTCTATAAGGAGATGCTGATTGGCCAGGGCTGTGTTTGAATCATGCTGGCTCTGACCCTGATCTGCCTCTTTGTCAGTCTCAGCCAATCCTATGGGGAAGCACTGTGATTGGATCCACCACTTCTAATGATGTCAGCAGACTGTTTGTTTTTATGAGTCTAACAGCATGCAGAGTTACAGCTTCAAGCTTGAATATAGTAAGATTTTGCTATATTTATGGAGGCATGAGGGGCCCAGGGGGGCTAGATGGTAGTGTTAACACTATAGGGTCATGAATTCATGTTTGTGTTCCTGACCCTATAGTGATCCTTTAAGGTAATGCTGACTTTGGTCTCTCTAACACTGTGGCATGTTCCCTTTCTTCTACACTCACTACATACAGCTTTTCTCTGTCCTAGACTATATACCAGGAGCTTCTGCCTGCTAGTAAGAAGGTAAGGAGACAAGTGGAACATCGAGTGCTAGGGGAGAGTCCTTAGAAAGCGTTGAGTGAGTGCATCATTAGATGCATTTATGCCAAGCTCAGGGTGCTGTCTGCATAGTATGCCCTTAGTTGGCCAGCTGCATGATTGGCAGGCAGCCTGACATGCATTCATGCCAGGCTGGCCTTCTAATTCTTTGGGCAGACATGTCCTCTTTTTGGGCATGTTTGCCCCTTTTGGCAGGTTACTTGATTTGTGTCAGTGGCACACCCTTTTACCATGCCCATTGACTTCCTGCTTGACTGGACACTGCTGTTAGGGGTTATGGATTTACTTGAAAGATGAAAACAAATTAGAGAGAGATTAGCCTAGGGTATGTGTTTTCTTATAGCTGCTGTTTTCTTTCTCTCCAGCACCATCTCCATCAGATACATGACGCTTGGGAGTGTTTTACTGTTTTTGGTCAATATGATTCTGTAATTAGGCCCGTCATAATTGTCAGCACCAGGCCCACTGGGCTCTTAATCTGGCCTTGGGTGCAGTGTGTATGTGCGTGGTGTGCAGTGTGTGAATGAATGGTGCAGTCTGTGTGTGTGTGTGAAGGTAAAGTGTACTTGTGAAGGATGCAGTGTGTGTGAGGGGTAAAGTGTACTTGTTAGGGGTGCACTGTGTGTGTGTGAGGGGTGCAGTGTTTGTGTGTGTGTGAAGGATGCAGTGTGTGTGTATAGGGGTGCAGTGTATGTGTATATGAGGGTGCAGTGTGTGAATGTGGGTGCAGTATTTATGTATGGGGTGCAGTGTATGTGTATAGGGTGCAGATCCATACAAATATATCTATATAAGTTTTGATTTTTTTGTATTCAAAGTAAATATACTTTATACCCCTCCTTTCTTACCTTTGGGGGATATTACCGTACTTCCAATCTCTGGTGGTGAGTGAACTCTAGCCTGCAGCTCAGGATAGAGTTCACTCTCGCGAGAACCGGAGCATTGCCACGGCAACCATGGCAATGCTCCGTTGTCGCGAGAGGAGGACTCAGAGGAGCTGCAGCCTGAGCTCCTGGGTCCTCTCTCCCTCCCTGCCAGCTGCCAGCAAAGTGCCCACCCCCTGGATCCTCCAGTAAACCACCTTAAGCCGCAATAACTTAAAGTAATCTTTTTCTGTATGACTTTATCAGTCTGTCACATTGTTGTGGAGGAATATTGGCTCACTCTTGTTTACAATGTTTTGATCATTGAGGTTTGCTGGCTTTTATTTATGCACAGCTCTCTTAAGGTCTCGCCACTGAAGAGTCATAACTAGAATCCACTTTAAGTTACATTGTGTGTGTACATATCAGTGTTTCAAGGTGTGTGTCTGTGTGTGCATCTGTGTGTCAGGATGTGTAAATGTCAGTGCGTGTCAGCGAGTGCATTTGTCAAGGTGTGTGTGTGTGCCTCTGTTTGTCAGGGTGTAAATCTGTGTATCAAGGTGTGTATATGTCAGGGTGTGTGTATGTCACTGTGTGCAACTGTGTGCCATGGTGTGCATATGTCAGTGTGTGAAACATGTGCCAAGGTGTGTGTATGTGTCGGTGTGTGTATATGAAATTGTGTGTATGTGTCAGTGTGTTTATATGTATATCTGTGTAAGTATGTATATATGTATGTAAGTATGTATGTATGTGGCAGTGTATGTTTGTATGCGCACTCAAACACCAACACAACATGCAAACATAGTCCTGGAATAGAAGACAAATGTTACACACAATCGCAACCATGCATTCAAACTCCATAATTATATACAAACACATGCCTTCGATTAAACACCAATACTAAACCAAAATCTACATCTATATTTAAAAGCCAACATTACCTCCAAACACACCCCTGCAATCAAACGCAAACATTATGTGCAAACACACCTCTGTATTAAAACACTAAAATTATATACAAACACACCCCTGCATTCAAACGCTAGTGCAAACACTACACACAAGTACATTTACATTCCAAAGGCAACAGTACATACAAATACACCCCTATTTGCACAAATATACTCTAAAACACATGCTTACATTCAAACGCACAAAGTCTGCTAACAAATATAACCCTGCGAGGATGGGCAAACGTTAGGTCCCAAGCTGGCATAGCATTGTTGTGGGATAGATGAGAATCTACCTTTTGTCCACTCTGGCACTAAAGGGGCCTAAAATAAACTTTCTTGCACCAGGACAGTCTTTACATTAGTCCCATCACTGCTTGGGATCATTGTCCTGTTGCATAACCAATTTGAGCCAAGCTTTAGCTGTCAGACAGATGGCCTCACATTTGACTCTAGAATACTTTGGTATACAGAGGAGATCATGGTAGGCTCAATGACCGCAATATTCCCAGGTCCTGTGGCTGCAAAACAAGCCCAAATCATCACCATATGTTGTGTTTTGTTTTCGCCAAATGTGTCACTGAGCAATATGGCCAAACATCTCCTCATTGGTCTCGGGTGTCCACAGGATATTGTTCCAGAAGTCTTGTGGTTTCTTCAAATGCAACTTTGCAACCCTAAGCCGTGCTGCCATGTTCTTTTTAGAGAGAATAGGTTTTCTTCTGGCAACCCTTCCAAACAAGCCATACTTGCTCAATCTTTTTCTAATTGTACGGTTATGAACAATAACATTTAACATGCTAACTGAGGCCTGTAAAGTCTGAGATGTAACTCAAGTTTTTTGCCATTTCTCTGAGCATTGCATGTTCTTACCTTTGGATTTACTAGGATATCCACTTCTGGGTAGACTGACAACTCTTGAATGTATTTCACTTTTGAATAATCTTTCTCACTGTAGACTAATGGACTTTAAATTGTTTGGAAATGGCCTTATAGCCCTTCCCAGTTCTTGATGTCTTTCATCCTTGGCATTGTGTAAACACACACCTGAATGCTACAGACCAGCAAACTGCTAACAATTTGGCTTTTACAGAGGTGGTCACACTTGCTAATGATCAGTTAAGCAATGGCATTTGATTAGCAGCACCTCTCTGCCACTTAGTCTCCTAATTCCTATAAGAGCAGTAAGGGTGCACTTAGTTTTTCATGCATGGTTTCTCCATTTTGGCTTTAGTTTGTTAAATAAATCCTGACAAGGTGCAATATGGCATTTGTTTTTGTTCATCTGAGGTTGTATTTACCTAATTTTAAGAGCTGCTAAGGAACAGATGACTGTAATAGAATTCACAGATGGTGAATACTTTCTTTTTCCCATGACTGCATAACTTGAATTTCTCCAAAACATTTAACCATTTAACCTGTAAAGCCACATTTTGATTTCACAGATATTCTGGAGTAGATATATTACAACTGCACAGTAGCAATTATGAAGGGCTGGTTTTACCCTTTATGAAATGAACCCTGAACTATGAGGTTTTTACTGGTAGGGACACTGCAGCTGGAGCACTAACCACAACTTACTAGCTAATACAATGATCTGACACATGTGATTAGGACGGTTTAATAGGGTTAGATAGACGAGTGTCAAGATCTAGAACATAACTTAGTAATACTATATCTATAATGAATACGGCTGCGAGGCTTATTTTCCTGTCCGGTCGCACCTCCCACGCCTCCACGCTCTGTCAGTCCCTGCATTGGCTTCCAGTTAGATATAGGGCCCAATTCAAAATTCTGGCGCTTGCTTACAAATCCCTACATAATTTTGCTCCAACATACCTATCTTCCCTCATACACAAGTATGTCCCGACGAGACCCCTGCGCTCAGCCCAAGACCTACTCCTATCCTCTGCCCGGATCCCCACCTCTGATGCTCGCCTTCAAGACTTCTCCAGGGCTGCACCTATTCTGTGGAACTCCCTTCCCTCCTCAATCAGACTTTCACCCAGCCTCCATTCCTTCAAAAAATCTTTGAAAACTCACTTCTTTATTAAAGCGTATCAATTAAACTGTCAGCAGGTTTCTCATCCCCCACCCCATGACTCCGTTCCTTCACCTGTCAAAAATGACCTACCAAGCACTCAATAAACCCTTCTGTAACAAACTATTTAATTCCCCTACTTTAACCCTTTGTGTCACTATACCCCACTCCCTCTAGCATGTAAGCTCATCGAGCAGGGCCCTCAACCCCCTCTGTTCCTGTACGTCAGTGGTCTAATCTCAATTATGTGTCTGTTAGTCCACCCATTGTACAGCGCTACGGAATTTGTTGGCGCTATATAAATAATAAAATAATAATAATAATAATAATACTCTGCTTTTTAGGTTGGAATTGTTTGGTGACAGATGAGGTGACACAGGAGAACTAATGTGAACAAGGAATAGAGCAGCGCTAAACAAACTAAGAACACTAGGGTGGGAGGCAGCACACCTGATAATAGGGAATCCCCCCAACCCCCAAGAACACTAGTACAAGTCAAACAACAATATACAGCTACGCCAAAAATACTCCAAACACAATAGTATATAATATCAATAATAAACCCACAGGATATAAAAAGAGTCCACAATAAAACTTAAAAGAATAAAAAATACCAAATGGTACGGCACAGTGTCAAAGGTGGCAATAGATCTTCTAGTCCTGGTATGAGACTTACTTGGTAGCTTCGCTTATTAGCAGAATATGAAAAGGAAACAAAAACAGAGGCAACCAGCTCTAGGTAAAACAGCACGCAGTGGTGTACAATCCCCACTTGCAGGATATCCCTCTGGTTTTGGTACAAAGTTGAATGATGGTAATTCACAACTGGATAACGATGAGGTAGATCATATGGAATGACCAAAAAAAAGCAAGCAATAGTGCTCACTATATAGAAACATAAGTATCAATAAGGTAAATAAAAATATACTTACAATAGAGTGAGTAGACTAAACACTCTATGTATCAAGCCTGGGTGGTATAATCCCCACCAAGGATTTCTTTGGTTGTTTGTCCACAGTAGGTGATGGGTCCAGATGTCAGGTAAAAGTATAAAAATAAATAAGTACAAAAAAAATATGGCTAAACAAGTGAACTGGACACACAACACATGAAAGTTAGCAATAGCGACATAGAAAGGAAAAGATATGGGGGAGAGGGAGGGCAGAGCACAGACAAGGAAACTAAACTAGCTTAGGGAGGCTGCACACCGCATACAGACAAGATATATGCAGCAAAGCATACACAAGATCCACCAGCATGCCACACACCTTACCTTAGACTACACACACCTTACATTAGTCATAAAACTCCACTGAAGCAATCTTAATACTTCACCATTATTGATGTGTTATTGTTAAGCCATGAAAAACACAAACGCAACAGCGATTAACCTCGCTGAGTTGAAGCACCACAATGAGGTTCTATACCGATCTAACTTGTAACATAATTACATGCACAACTGCAAATATACACATTTTATAATGAATAATTTAAGCTCATGTACAAATTTAACAACAACAACAAAAAAAAACTAATCGAAAACTGCTCAGACACAGCAAACAAAAGTTAAAAAGGAAATTAAGGTAGCTACACTACCAAAATCACTGCTCTAACAATGTGATATGACATCTGGCAGAAGCAATACAAAATCGCTATAGACCGACTGAACTACACTCTAACCTTGATGCATGTTTATCCGAGAGACCTGCGGGTCTCCAGCATTACATACTCACCTTCAATACTGCTGTAATTGCCTTGATGACACAAATAAAGCTTTTTGAAACAAAAATATATGGCTAAGAGGCAGGTAGCGAGGTAGCCAAAATACTTTTATTTTAACAAGAGCATAAAAACCACAACGCGTTTCTCCCCTTAGTGCTTTCTCAAGTGGTAAAGTGGTTTTTACCACTTGAGAAAGCCCTAAGGGGAGAAACGTGTTGGTTTTTTTTTTTTGCAAACTACACTTTCTATCTTTCTATCTTCGGGGGCCAATGCAAACCATTATCTGGAAATCTGTTCATAAACAGGATTATACAAAGAACACAAGCTCACACATTTAGACTAAGAGAAGGGATATTTAAAGCAAAGGAAACGTTTTCTTACAGTAAGAACAATAAGGATGTGGAATTCTCTGCCTGAAAGGTGGTTTTATCAGATGTTTAAACAGCAATTGGATGAATACTTCCAAAAACATAATTTTCAGGGATATAAACAGCTTCATGATACAATGAGAGATCTGACTGCCTGCCATTCTGGGGATTATAAGTAATATTTTGTAATATGTTTTGGGAGAAAGCCTCTGTATACACTTCGTTATCATTAGAGCAAACATGTGTATTTTGTACCTCTTTTAGCTAAATACATATTTTTCTAATGACAACTACCATGATGCTTTGCTAGTTTTGGCCTTCAATGCACTAAGGATTTATACTTAAATATTTGTAAATTTGTGAAACAATGGTTTAATACAAGTAATAATAATGAAATACTTGTACAAAAATCTACATACATATAGTCAATTGTTTGTATGTAACACCTGTGTTTTCCTCCTTTTTTAGCATAGCTACAGAGAAGTGGGAATATTACTTCTTTACCTGGCTGTTGGTGTCTCAGTTTTTTCTGGAATGGCATACACTGCAGAAAAGGATGAAGATACAGGATTTGACACAATACCTTCTTGTTGGTGGTGGGGGACTGTCAGCATGACAACAGTAGGCTACGGTGATGTAGTACCTGCCACGGTTGCTGGGAAGCTTGCTGCCTCTGGCTGTATTCTGGGTGGGATATTGGTTGTAGCCTTGCCTATAACAATCATATTCAACAAGTTTTCACATTTTTACCGCAGGCAGAAAGCTCTAGAAAATGCGGTAAGGAACAGTGATAGGGAATCAGAGAAAAAACCCAGTGCAATGGATGAGAGAGAAGATGAACAATTTGCAGATCTCTGAAAGCAAAACACAATCTGGACATTTAAGAATACAGAATGGCAGGGATTTTAACCCCTTAAGGACCAAACTTCTGGAATAAAAGGGAATCATGACATGTCACACATGTCATGTATCCTTAATGGGTTAAACAAACATTGTATCATTAAATATACAAGAGGTATCGTTAGAAATGCATATTCCTACTGTCTCAATGCTCTTTGATGTATAATAAAATTCTGTAATATTGTCAAAATTAATAGGAGCATCCACCTTTTTTTATTACTGTTCTGTCAAGGAAACGGTGATGAAAAATATACTAATCAAGTGATGTACCGTCTAAAATGGGTGACTGCTTCAAATTTATATATATATATATATATATATATATATATAATTTTTTTTAATTCAGTATTTTGACAGTAATGTTATCACAAAGTATTTAAAGGAACCTAGTCTGATGAGCCTTCCATATATGCTGCTAAAAAGGAAAATTGGGACTACCCTTTGAGGCACACATTGTATCAAACTAAGGCAACCTAACATTGTTGAACTACAAATCAAATACATTCCCTCCCATCTTTTCCTGCCCCTGAGATTTCTTTGGCTCATGGTTTTCTCTGCTCCCTAACAGGAGTACATTTTTCTGGGGTTCTATACATCACATGTATATAATGGACATTCATTGTTCAGAAGCATTACTAAACCCCTTTCCATTGCCAAGGTTACAAGTTTAATGACATGGATTCTGAAAGTTTAATACACATGGCAAAGGTGATTCTCATCATAAGTACAGAGCATGTATTTAGTTAGGGAAGTTAAGGCATGTATTTTTGGAGGCAGAGTGCCCCACCGTGCAATAATTTTCACAAATAAATTTACTCAAAAGGTCTCCAAGTCATACTTGTGTTCACCCGTTCTACATTTCAGTCACCTTTTTTATGTTTTATTTCATTGCCTACTTTTCATTTGAGTTACCCATTCTCCCCTTTTGTTCTTCCCCTTCTTTTAAGTATTCTCCTTAACACCTGCATCATGTTCCTTCCAACTTAATTTTATAGCAACGCCTTTCCCCCTTCCTTATTATGTCAACCCTTCTCTATTTCAGCTCCATTCCCTATTGGACCTCATTCCACTCTTGTAATTTTTCCTCCCCTTTTCTTCTTGGACCTAGATTACTACTTGTTCTATCTTAACGTATACTGCCTACCAGTTCCACCTTAATCCTGTACCACTTTCAACATCTGCAATATCAGTCTGGAGATAGGGGACATGTGAGCTTAACATCTACAGTTGGGAAATTGTGTGAAGGGTTGCTAAGGCATAGTAATCATATATTTATTGTAACCAACATAATTAGTAGTAATGGAAATAATGAAAGGTTAAGTCTTGATTTGCTTAAACTAATTTGATTATATGAGGAAGTCAGAAGTATAGATCCATACAATGCAGTGGATTTGATCCATTTGGATTTTGGGATAAGGAATACTCAACCAACACAAAATGGTGTAGATGTTACAGAAAACAATAAATGAGAAGGAGTTGGGCATAGCATCAGACAACTGACCGGACAACAATGTGTAAAAGTCAGTAAGATATCTTCATGTATTTCTTTTAGAAATCAGTGGTAAGTTCCCTCCTTGAATATGCAATGAAATTTTGAGCATCTGTGTTTAAGATGGACATTATGGATCTAGAAAATGTATTGAGGCACGAAACATGAATAAGGGGAATGGAAGATATTAGTTGAGATGAACGTTTAGAAAACTTGTTTAGCTTGGAAAAACCTGTCTGAAAATTAAATTTTAGCAGCTACAGACATTAAATGTTTGTCTAAAAGGAACAGAAACACTTTATTATCTACAGCACTTTAATTGTTCTTTGAAAAGAAAAAACATCTCATGTGCTGCTTTCTCCCATCAGCCTTCATCCAGATAATATAAAGTGTTGCAACCAGAAATCAGAAGTAAAGGTGTGCTTTTGGTTATATAAATTACTCTGGTTACAGTGGTTACCATGATTGGGGTAAGTCCCTACGAGTTCCAAAGTACTTAAAGCAAGACACAAAGTTTTCATCCAGAGTAAAATAAAGGAATGTTGTAGGAGAAATAAAAAGGCATTTTGAAAGGTTTTTTTTGTTTTGTTTAAAAAAAATAGTATAATGCATCTTGACGAACATTTCTTTTTGCAGAGATCTGATTCACGTCTCTTTTTTCTGTGAACTCAAGAATTGGCTGAAATGTCTTGCATTCATAAACTTTCATAAATTTGCATAAGAGAACTGGAGAGCATACAGTCCTATACGACATCACACGCTTTCTTACAGAGATGAACATGACCAAGTGGTTTTTAAGCTAATTTCTGGGAGAAGACAACAAACAATGGAACGGTCACGATGATCCAGGGGGCTCCATCAGTTTGGATTTTCTGTTATAGAATAAATTGGAACACTGGTTGCCTAGAGGGAGAAAGCAGTAGAAATTCACTGAAGCCTCAATAACAAAAATAATATTTTTTCCAGTTTGTTGAGTATATTGAGAAGCTGGGCAAAAACCATGTTTATATAACGCCTATTCTTGATGGATCATCAGAGGTATAGAAATATGAGAATTATTTACGGGCTTCAAAGATTATTCCCGTAGAATATTAAAGAACACACTATGACTTGTGGGGTAATGTGGCTAGTTCCATGGTTATCCAAGGGGCAGATGGGGATGTTTAATGACACATAAAAAAAGCAAAAAACTAAATATTTTTAAAGATTTTTTGTATTTAAGCTTACAAAATGCTAAACATACTAATAATACAATTCACAAAAATGAAAATAAAATATTAAACGTATAAAAAAATATAAAAAAGTAAAAATAGTATTAAAATAAGCTAGAGTCCTGATAGCAAGTAAATTCCTCAGAAATGTTGCTGTCTCCGTTTCTTGGATTCAATTGCTTCAAGAATTGGTTGTCGTTTTGACTGATATTTCTGATGAATTTCTTCAATTTCACGTTCCATCATTGGATCCAGAGAGCTCAGTTTCTCCTGAAGTTCAGCTACACTCCATTCTTTCAGCTACAAGAAATACAGACAAAACACATGTTAAATTTTCAACAATTAAGAAAAATGTCACTTAAATATTTTTATTGTTTTAAAGTAGTATTGTCACTTGTGTTAGCAAGACTCTCCCAAAAGTGACATATCTACATACATGGTGATGCATGGGGGGGCGAGTATAAACTGGGAAATGGGGAAACGAGTGCAAATTGGTGGACCATGGAAGATCGGCAGGATCTCCGTACATCTTCGGGTGAGCGTACAATAAGATGCCAAATGCTTCTATTGTGCATGACAAAAATATTCCTGTATCCATCTGCTGATGCAAATGACGACTGATGATAAAACAGGAACTGGCAGTGGAACACTAATTATTACTACATTTTGCCAGAATTCCTTTCCAGCATATTGCAAGATAGTATTGGCCTAGTTTTAATGAATCAATGAACTTCCAGCACAGTCTATACGAGTTTTCGTTAAACTAAAAAATTACAGTGACACTTCAAGAATTGCTTCACTAAATGGACAAGAGTAGTGAAACTTTTTGTGAAAATTCCCAGATGTTAAAGTTGGTGTACCCCAGGTGTTATGGAGCTACGTACATGTTCCATTATCCTTTGCAAATAGCTTAATTCATGTTTATTTATAACAAATAAATCTACAACTCAATAGAAATGTGAAAGCTCAACCACAACTCTTGTAAACGCCTGTACATTTGTATAGGTATCAGACTAATAATTAAGCTCTTTTTCTAACAATGCAGTTTCATGGCTCTGATAATAGTGCAAGGCTATAGTTAAAATAAAGAGATACGGTAAGCATATAACAAATAAAATCATACTGACCACAGGTAAAAAACAGTAAATTTGTAAAAGATGTAAATGACAATACTACTACTACTTAAGAGTGCGACCAAGCCCCTTTAGTATCGGCTGCTTGGAGGAAATGAGAGTGTCACTTCCTCCCAGATACAGAGAGCCCCTTCCAGGAGGGAAAGAGGCACACGCAGAAAGGGGGAGAGTCAGAAGGAGTGAACTGCTGCAGAACCTATACACATCAGGTTCAGCCAGCAGCATTCAAAGCAAGCTATGTCCCTACAGACAGATCTGTGTGTCAGTGTGTATGTGAATCTGTGTCAAGGTGTATGTCAGTGTGTGCATGTATCAGTGTGTATATCTGTGTGTATGTCTGTGTCAGTCTTTATATGAATACGTGTATGTATCTGTTTGTAAATATGTATGCATATCTGTTTATCAGTGCTCCCCCTTCCTGCCAGTAACATCAGGTGGTTGATTTGGTTAATTCAGAGAGCGTACGCTGAAAAGCACTTTGAGTCCCACTGGGAGAAAGGCGCTATATAAATACTAGTTATTACATGCAGCATGGGCCGGGCGGACCACAGCAGGGGATCTTCTGTATCCTCAATCTGGTCTGACAAGATGTGCTCACTGAGAGCAACAAACAGATTCCTGTCAGACAGGGCTGGACTGAGAACTAAAAGTCGCCCTGAAAAGAATTCTATTCTTTCCCAACAATGCATTGTGCCAGCACAGTGTGCATATCTACAGGTGGGAAAGATAAATTAAAATTGAAAACTATTACTTCAACATGAAAGAGCACTGAAAGAACAGATTTATTTTAAGCAGATGTGCATTTGCATATAATCACTGTTTCAGTACAACTACCTTGATATATTAAGGAACGTTTGGTAATGGGAATAAATTGGTGAATGTACACTGTTGCACAATTGTAAAAAAAAATTAAGTTTATTTTAAAACCCTATGAGTGTACTCTTCACTTTGAATATGTTATTGAACTGCATTGTGCGCCTAACAACATGACTGGGCCAATACTGCTCATCACTTACATGTTGATGTTATATATTAATGAAATGTATGTGTGTATTGTGCATATATTAATATACATCTATATATATGTAAATATATGCATAATTATATAGCTCTCTCATATATATATATATATATATATATATATATATATATATATATATATATATATATATATATATATATATATATATTTATTATAGGCCCTCAGAACAAATAAAGAGTTAGATAATCTACTAGTTGAGGAAATAGCTAAAATGACAATGAAGGGGAAGTTATCATCATGGGTGACTTTAATCTTCCTGATTTGAATTGGAAAACCAAAATAGCTGCTTGTGCCAAAATAGCTGCTTTGTGTCACACCACACAAAAACTAAAGTTTAAGACTTTAAAAAAACAAACATACTTTTCTAAAATTAGAATATGTGTAATGGCGTCATTATCAGACTGGAGCAATTTAAATGGAGTCCAAGAGAAATGGAATTATTTAAAAGTTGCACTGCTGAAGGCAACAGAAAATTGCATTAGGCTTGTCAGTAAACACAAAAAAATTAAGAAACCACTGTGGTACTCCACAGATGTGGCCAAAATAGTAAAAAACAAAAAGTTAGCATTTAGTAATTATAAAAAAAAGAAAAAGAAAACAGTGTGAGGAAGACAGAATGATCTATAAGATTAGGCAGAGAGAGGCTAAGCAAGTAATAAGAGCTTCCAAATCACACACAGAAGAGAAAATAGCACAGTCAGTAAAAAAAGGGGACAAAACATTTTTTAGATATATAAATGAGAAAGGGAAAGTAAAACAAGGATTAGTTAGATTAAAAACAAAAGAAGGAAGGTATGTAGAAGAGGATAAAGGTCTGGCTGACTGCCTCAATTAATATTTTTGTTTAGTATTTACAGATGAAAAAGAAGGAAAGGGGCCTCAGTTAGTTAAAAGGACAAATTAATATTTTGTTACATGTGAGTTTACAGAGGAAGAGGCTCTATTTCAACTGTCAAAAAAGTAAAGGCAAATAAGTCTTAAAAGAATATTAAAAGAGCTTAGTGGTGTACTAGCAAAACCATTAACAGATTTATTTAACCAATCATTGTTAACAGGAGTAGTCCCAGAAGATTGGAAGTCAGCAAATGTTGTGCCCATTCACAAGAAAGGTAGTAGGGAGGAGTTGGACAACTATAGGCAAGTAAGCCTTACTTCAGTAATGGGAAAAGTAATGGAAACCATGTTAAAGGATAGGATTGTTGAACATCTAAAAATCACATGGATTTTACAATATCAGAGACAACATGGGTTTACTTCAGGGAAATCATGCCAAGCTAATATTTTATTTTTTTTTGCTTGGGTAATTAAAATAATAGATCAGGGTGGTGCAGTAGACATTGCTTACCTAGATTTCAGTATGGCTTTTCACGCTTTAGAAGGCTTATTAATAAATTGCAATCTTTAAGTTTGGATTCCAATATTGTTAAATGGGTTAGGCAGTGACTGAGTGACAGGCAACAGAGGGTTGTAGTCAATGGAGTATATTTAAAACATGGGCTTGTCACCAGTGGGGTACCTCAGGGATCTGTACTTGGACCCATTCTCTTTAATATTTTTATTAGTGATATTGCAGAAGGTCTTGATGGTAAGGTATGTCTTTTTGCTGATGATACTAAGATAAGTAACAGGGTTGATGTTCCAGGAGGGATACGCCAAATGGCAAATGATTTAGGTAAACTTGAAAAATGGTCAGAGTTGTAGCAGCTGACATTTAATGTAGAAAAGTGCAATATCATGCATCTTGGACGTCAAAATGCAAGGAGTACAGAATATTTGATAGAATCCTAACCTCAACATCTGAGGAAAGGGATTTAGGGGTGATTATTTCTGATGACTTAAAGGTAGGCAGATAATGTAATAGAGCAGCAGAACATGCTAGCAGAATGCTTGGTTGTATAGGGAGAGGTATTAGCAAAAGAAGGAGAGAAGTGCTCATGCCATTGTACAGAAGACTGGTGAGACCTCACTTGGAGTATTGTACACAGTACTGGAGACCGTAGTTCCAGAAAGATATTGATAGTTTAGAGAGAGTTCATAGAAGGGCTACTAAACTGGTTCATGGATTGCAGGATAAAACTTACAAGGAAAGGTTAAAGGAACGTAACATGTATAGCTTGGAGGAAAAACGAGACAACGGGGATATGATAGAAACATTTAAATACATAAAGGGAATGAGCACAGTAAAGGAGGAGACTATATTTAAAAGAAGTCTACCACAACAAGAGGACAGTGTCTTAAATTGAAGGGGCAAAGGTTTAAAGGTTTAAAAATATCAGGAAGTATTACTTTACTGAGAGGGTAGTGGATGCATGGGATAGCTTTCCAGCTGAAGTGGTAGGGGTTAACACAGTAAAGGAGTTTAAGCATGCGTGGGATAGGCATAAGGCTATCCTAACTATAAGATAAGGCCAGGGACTAATGAAAGTATTTAGAAAATTTGGCAGGCTAGATGGGCCGAATGGTTCTTATCTGCCGTCACATTCTATGTTAAAATATATGATATATATACACCTATATTTACTCTATATTATTAATACATGCATATATATGTATTACTGTCAGAATCACATCAATTACAACTTCTACCTGTACATCTGGTTAGCGGGATTGCAAAATGTATATATATTGGAAGAAATTAAATGCAGTGCTGAAGAACTGAGTTACAAGGATAACAGGAGACACAGGCAAAGATGCCCTCCCTCCCCTGTAAAAATATGCATATTCACCTATGTTTCTCTTAAGCCCCATTTTTAATTTATTGCCCTATTTTGTGTTTCTTATCACCTCTACGGATAGTCTTACTTACTTTAGTGTATCTTATCCCTCATTTTTCTCA